TTTTACGCCCCCCTCAGGTTTTTCGCGAATATTTCAAAAACGGCGGCGCGCAGCGCCGCCGTTTTTGGTACACGTGTTCCTACATCATTTCCGCACATGTTGTGAAAATTTCAGACCTAGGCCGTTCAAGGTCAGGTCACCAGGTCACGTCAAGTGACCTTACCTCAGAAAAAGTTCAAAGGCTCGCTATAGCTACACCGACTGAACGATCACTTTGAAACTTTCAGCGATTGATATGAGTAACAGTATGTATAAAATGTATATCTCGGATTTTTGATATCTGTGACCTAAGGTCAGGTCAATTTTGCGACCTCTCCATTATAAGTCAATGGGAGAAAATTGAAATGCGCCTCTTTTGGACGAATATCGTTCAAAACGCTCTCAAACATCGGTTCATAGGTAAACATGACACACTGAATAGGAAAAATGCACCTGTGACCCCTCTGTGTGCCCCTGAGGTCATCTCAGGTCATGAACGGTCGCCAGCAGTTTTTTGGCTATAACTTTTGATAGAGACGTGCTAGAGCGGTGAAAACACGTCAGATGTGTTCAGCTCGACGATACGGATCGACTGATATGCAACATGACCCTTTTCGGTCAGGTCATGACCTTGACCTGAGGTCAAATTTTCAAAATGACCTTTCAAGGTCAACAAATAGTTCATTCGACGCGTCTCGACGAGAGGAACACGATGCTGGCAAAAGTAATGTCATGGCGCTTATGAGTCAAAAGTTATTGACGAAAAAACGTTTTTCGTAAAAACGGCTATTTTTGGAGTTTTTGCCCTCTGGAGGCTAAACCGTTGACCTGAGGTCAAATCTGAGAACATTACTCAGAAAGGTCTGTAAAAGGGCTATCGAATGCGCTTTTCCGCGGCGCTGTAGCTCTATCGGTTCCCGAGATAGCCGTTGGCAGTTTCCAAAATGTTGAAATAGTCAACATTTTACCTTTGGTGACCTCTGGTGACCTGACCTTTGACCTGACCCAAAAAATGACCGAAGTGTTTTCGTCCTTATTTTTGACGCTCTTTCGATTGCCGCTTACCGCGTGTCGCTACGTGGCCCAGGAGCCGAGTTAGACGGGGGGGCGTGAAAACGCCCCCCCCAGCACTCGGCGGAAAGTTCAGGCCACCAGCACGGCGCGGGTTAAGCAGGACGATAGTGTAATTGTCAAGCCTTCAGACAAATGTAAGGGGCTAGTCATCATGGATAAGACAGAGTATTTGGACAAAGCGCAGGTGATCACAAACACTTATGAAAAGATTGATCGCAACCCCACTGCTAAAACAGAGGCTAGCACCAAAAAGGTCATCGCACAAACACTTAAAGATAAGGTGGGTCAAGACATTGTGGACATCCTACGCCCACACCATTCTCGCTGTGCAGAACTATACGGCCTGCCTAAAACTCACAAGACAGGCATTCCCCTGAGACCTATTGTGTCTGCCATAGATGATCCTCTGGATAGGCTATCTTGGCTATTAGAGCAGGTCACTTCCCAGCTTCTTCAGTACGTACCTGCCCACCTTAGGAGCACTGATGACTTTCTATCTAGGTTGAATGAGGCCTATCCTGCCGGCCTCCCGGAAGGGAGCATAATATTCAGCGTAGACGTAAAGAATCTTTATGGCAACGTGCCTACCGGGGAAGCCATAGACGCAGTCATCGCGCGTATCGAGGAGCACCGGGCAGAATTGAACCTATTTGGACTAGACACCAGTGACATCAGAACGCTGCTACAACACTGTCTCCAGAACAACTATCTTAGGTTTGGGGACTCGTACTTCAAGCAGACCCAGGGCCTGGCTATGGGATCCCGTATCGCTCCAACCCTAGCAGTTGTGTTCATGGGCTCACTCGAGAAACAGTTCTGGAATCACCCTAGGGGTTTGAAGCCGAATACCTACATGCGCTACATAGATGATGTATTTGCGGTATGGACACACGGGGCAGAAAGCTTATCCGAGTACCTAGACTTTCTAAACTCGAAACATGAAACGATCAAGTTCACGATGGAGCGATCTGATGCAAACGGATCTCTCCCTTTCCTTGATGTACTGATTACAGTAAAGGACAACGGCACGTACACTACACAACTGTACATTAAGCCCAATGCCGCAAAACTTGTCCTTCACTTTCAATCGGCCCATCCTTTCACGACCAAAAAGGCAGTCTTAACAGGACATGTAAAAAGAGCCATTCGGATAAGTTCCGACATCCCAAGTAGGGACAAGAGCCTAGAGGTGACCACGTCCCTATTTAAGCTGAACGGTTATCCAGCTAAGCTCATCAAAAGTGTCATGCTACGGGAATGCTCTCGTGCAAACAGGGGGGTAGCTAGGGTGCAGAGGGACAAAAGGAAGCGCAGGGGAACAGTTTACGTCAAACTACCATTCATAAATGATGAAGTGGCCTCCAAGGTCCAAAAAGTGCTGAAAACATCAGGGTTTCCGATCCTTGCAGCATGGACAAATCAAAACACACTCAAAAGACAGCTAGTGCGGTCAGCTCTCAAAGACCCACCGTGTCCTTCAGGCAGACAGCACTGCCACGCATGTCAAGCTGGGCTGCGGGGAAAGTGTCACACGAAAAACGTAGTGTACGAATTGAAATGTAGTCTGTGCAACAAAACTTACGTAGGAGAAAGCGGTAGGCCAATACGACTGCGATATAACGAACACTTACGAGATGGCACCAACAAGAAACTAGGCACACCAATGGGTGAACATTTCGCGCACGAGCACCCAGACCTGACCCCAACGGACACGACTCTGATAGCACGCATCGTACGCAAATGTAAGGATGAAGCTGACAGGAGGATTGCTGAATCCATCACCATCCGCGATAGGATGCCATCTATTAACGATAACAGCACCTCCTGGCAGCTACTTCCAAAGTAGGTTAGCATTTTTCAAGAGCTCACCACGTTAAAAAGTGATTGTGTAGATCGTTTTCATAGATGCTGTATGCGCCCTAACTTTGTCCAGGGTATGAGTAGTCATAGTATGATAATACGCTCATGTATGCTCATTTACGTATATAATGTTCATTTATGTATAATATGCTCATTTAATTGTTTCGCACAGTGTAAATGTTATATGTGCCCTAACTTTGTCCAGGGTAAGAGTGTAACTTGCTGCCCATTTAATTGATCCGCAAGTATTGTTTCATCTTAAATTCGTATATGCTTAGGCACACACGCACTTTAATCTTGTGTATTTTTTCCCTGTACATATTATGTTTGACTGCTGCGACTTTTAGAATTACCAACCATAAATCTTTTCCCTGAGGACATATCTACTGTTGTGCATGTGTACTGAACAAAAAGTATTTTGACATCTACAATTGTGGCGCCTGCTGGTATCGGTTGACAAAGATCTGTGATCGAATATACCCGAATTTTTGCTATTTGTCATTTTATTCAGATTACATTGAGGATTCGGTCAATTAAAAATATGCTCATAATCATCAATATGATTTTCCTCACTACGCTAAACTCTCTCAAAGTAGACATGAACAAATGCAAATTAATGCATGATGTGAAGATTGCAGAACAATGAATTTTCTTCACAGGTATCCTGAATAACTTTAATAGCGATGTGGACAGTTAAACTGACAAATATGACATTTGTTTAGTAGAACGAGAGCCGAACGTTCTTTCCGTGGCTGGTCAGGCGGGCCGAGGGCGCCCGGTCTGCGAGTCGATAAGGGTCATTTCACGCTTCTGTGTGGCTGACTTTGGTCCATCGTGACACTGAGCTGTGTGATTGCGCCTTATTGTCGGCTGTGGGAGACGCATATTAATGATTGGAAATATTGCTTCGCTAAATATTGTTCTTTTGGCGTTCAGCTTGCACTGGAACTCAAAAATACATGTTTATGTTTTCAAGAATGTCCGGGACAGCCCGTTGAATAAAAGATTATTAAGTTTTTACAAAAACACAATTTTCAAAAAAGGCCATCGATCGATTTTGATAAAAATTACATTTTTGGATTCAGCTCACCGTCAGCTTTCGAATGGTATATATCGTTTCTTTTGAGCCTGAGATGACCTTCCGACGAACCGTGTCAGAAGCGTCGGGCGCCCGGCAGGTGCTGCCATCTGACGACAAGCGTAGGGAAGCTGGCTGCTCGAGCCGGTGATAGTGGCCTGTGCAGCGCCGCAGTCTCCCAGGACGACCCGAGACTACGGGGACTTCGACATGAGTCGGGGACATCCTGGCCGGCCTGCGTCGGCAATAACGCCTCATCGCGCGCCGCCCGCCGTCAGCCGGCACCCCGCTAGGCTAGAGGTGCCGGCTGATCAAGTCAACAAAGCGCTGGCCTCCCGGCGAGCGAGGCGAGCGGACCGGGCGGACCGGCTGCCTGCTTGGCCTCGACTCCGAGAGGTGGCGCCGCCGCCGAGCCGCGGGCCGGGGTCACGCGGACCCGCCGGGCGCTGCTCCGTGGGTCGGGCCGGGAGACCGACAGACCCGCGGAGGCCCAGTCGGCAAGTTATGTACCGCGTTACGTCACAGACTGTTCTAGGCTCCAGCTGTTGGCCTCTTGCCAGGGATGGTAATTGGTCAATGCATGATGAAATATGCGAGCAGTTGCAGTCATCCACGTGCTTTGATGCAAATACCGGTGCGAAGTTGAGTAGGATACGATTGCTGCGAAACCTTTAGTTGTTGGGAAAACCAATAGTTGTTAGAGAGGTGTAATGAATCGAAGGAATTAACATACGAAAAAACATAGCAGTGTGATTTATTATTTGTTACGTCCGCTGATTCCATCGTGGAGCCATAAATGACCATCGGTCGAGAGCATCTCATCTTCTCGCGCGGGGAACTTTTTGTTAGGTTGTTTCACCGGGGGACCTCTCCAGCCATAGAACTAGCCACAGGAGAGATGGGACAATTCAGTGCCAGTCGCAGGTACCGCAGCTCCCGGCTCAGGACCAAAGCCCGCGCGGACTGACCCGCCCGGACCCATCCCTCCCTCCCCGAGCAGCAGACTCACCTGTAGAAGGCATCCGGCATGGTGAACGTGGACATGATCCAGCAGTACGAATTGATGATGTGGGTGCTGATGTCGCCATCGTTGATGCAGTCGATGGGGTTGCCGATGAACTGGGTGGCCGTCAGGATCAGGATGAAGAGCGCCAGCAGGCCGGTGGTGAACTGATAGTGCAGCCGGAACACGGGACAGTCGTTGGACACCTCCCGGATCTTGCAGAAGCTCTTGAGCGTTCCGAACACCCCTAACATGGTGGCGGCTGGTGGGCGGGCTGCTCTGTGTGTCGACCCGGCCCGGCTCGGCGCTGTGGTACGGGCGGCGCGCGCAGTCTAGCAGCTGACCACTGCAGTACAGAGGCACAGGGCCGGCCGGCGACTGGCGGCCCGGCTGCCCCCGGCGATACGGCCGGCACGCCGCTCGTCCCGGCGCGCAGCCCGCGCTCGCCGACCGCGCAGCGTGCCTCGCAAAGAGCGCGTTCATTGGCCGCCGGTGCTGCGCGGCCCTCCGCGAGGCTATGTCTGTTTGGGCCGGCGACCCAGCGACCAATCAGCTGGCTCGCTGTGTGACAGATTATCCGGGACTTGGACACGCCGGGCGGGAACAGCCAGTGCGGTACCGCAAGCTACGCCCAGCCGCCGAGGACCGTTCCCCGCGCAGCACCGAATTAAATGCGAGGGAAATTTGGTCAAAAAGTGCAAATGCCATTTAAAGTCAATTTTAAGCGAAACAAAAGGGTTGAGTGCTCCCCAATGAACGATTTGAGCTCTAGTGGCATTGCTGACATGACAGCCACGAGTATTTTTATCACCAGGACCCTTCGATGTATTTTGGCTGTCTTGTTGAGCCAGCTAGCAAATAATACGCTCACAGAAATCAGAATAATGCAAATTCACGTACAATACAGTTTCATCTCAATTACAAAGTGAAACCATTCGAATCGGATAGAATCGCTCGATTACTCGTTTTGCAAACTAGCTATAGATACATTAATCGGCAACTGAAATGGTCCCTTTTACATTTTTCAGATGAAAACTACGTCAGTATAAAACGATGAATAGTGGGGTAGAAAATTATATGCTTTACAGGCTTTACACATTTATTCACACACTTTGCATCTAGCACGTGCCTAATGGTACACGCAAGTATAGAAGACAAATACAGAAGACCAGTTTAAGTGCATTGGCGACGTGCTTTTGAATTTAGACATTGCTTCATAGCCTATATACAAATGAGAAAAGCCAATTCAAATATGTGTTCCAGCGTAACGACTTAGTAGCATATGATTTTTCATATAAATTCATTCCTTGTTTCATATTCCCGTCTCGTGTCGTCTTCCGATAGCCTTCATGCTCCTACTCATCTCCTCAATGTGTACCTATCAATCGTTTCTCACTTATCTTCACTTGTGCCTATTCATCGATCACAAAAGAACTTGGTTTTTGTGCCATTCGTGTTTCCGCTTTACTAACCATGCTGAGAGGCTTTATACTGGTCTTCTTGCTACCTTAGCTGTGTCTTTGATATAACTATGCACAATTTTAGCATTTAAATGAGTATGAAAAGGGAAGTATATCTACATAACTAAATGCAGAAATGCAAATGTTACCTTTCAAAAATCAACGGAAAATGTGCCTGTGCCGGACGATAAGTTATCTGAACATGTTTGCCAAACCAAGCAAGAAAAAGACGAGCGGATATGTTGGTGACGAGCGGATATGTTGGTGAAGGGCAAAGATTCTGGAGACAAAGTCCAAACGCAGCTATGTGGTTTGTAAATAGCTACGAGTGTTCACTCAATAATACTAATATTTTAGAAGCATAGAAAAATGGAGATGGGGAAATCAAACATACACGATAGCGTAGAATGGAGCGTATGAGAAACCAGAAGGCGATATGAAACGCGACGTGAAAGTGTTCAGGCACTCCAAAACATTATTGAAACGGACCAATGCCTGGCGTGGGAAATGCTATAATATAAGCACCATTAGCATCAGAAAGGAATATGTAAATTACACACATGACTAAACGGGATGTTTCACATTGTTCAATGTGTGTTGAATGAACTCAAGTGTTTGTGTGTTTAAACACGCGCATTAGGTTGATTTTTATCGGTTCTCTCGCTATCGAGGCACTATCGACCCAAAAAGTGTTAATTACTGGGGAAGGGTTCGGGGGGGGGGGAGTAAAGTTGTGAGCTAGGAAAATGCCTATGGTGATGCGCAATTTACTTGATAAGAATCTGTCCGACGTCTGAGAGTCTGTAGAGATGTTGACCATCCAGTGGTAACGATTGCCGAGTTGATTTCGTCACCTTGAATGCATGCACCCCGCGCCTGCAAAGCGGCCGTCCAGTGCCGTACCCCATGACCACTGGCTGGCGTCAGGTTTAGTTGGTCAAGGCCAGCATAGCCAAACATATAACGCTGTGAGGCACCTGCGCTGATCAGCCGATGGCCGTGAACGTCCAGCTGGAATATGTCACAGCAGCCCAGTGACACAAGACCGATATTTCTGCTAGATCCCACGACCTGCTGACCTCCATTCCGGCACTGGGGTCAGCCAGTACTGGCGAACCGTCCACGGCTCTCACCCAGATGGGTCTCGGTCACGGGTACCGACTGGCATCGCCTCACACCGAGGCCACCGGCGCCCCTGACTCTGTTACCTGCCGGCCCTCCGCGCCGCCCGGCCACGGGGCGTCACGGCGCCAATGGCGGCCGTATAGTGGCGTTTTTGTGGAGAACAGGCTCGGGTGGGGTGGCTGGCACGTCCGCCCGGTCCGAACGACGCCGGTACGGCGACCGCTCAAGGCAGGGGCGGATCCAGAAAATCTCCAAGGGAGGGGCCATTAGAAACCAGGAGGCCCCCCCCCCCATAATCCCACCTGTTGGAGGACCCATCTTCCCACTTGTTGGGCCCCCCCCAAAAAAAACAACTGCGTCTATTGAGCTTATCTAGCTGTTCAGGCAACATCTCAACATCTGTGCAGGCTTGGAGGCCCTCTGTGCAGGTTAGGAGGCCCTGTAAAAGTGGTCATCTCTGTGGGTATAAGAGACCTCCAAGTTATGAAAAGCTTTACCAATCTTCTAACAAAGAAGTCTTCTCAGCTAGTCTTCTAAGAAATAACTAAGTGGGTAGGTTAAAAAAACTCATCGGATTTCGGCCACTTTATTTTCAGGAGGCCCCCTTTTCAGCTTTTTTACTTTTTAACTTTTTATTTTATTTTTGAAAAAAAATCGGCCAAGGGCCGATGGGGCCATGGCCATGGGGCCATGGCCCCCATGGCCCCCCCCTTGTATCCGCGCCTGGCTCAAGGCCATCCGCCGCCGGGCCGGCCGACTGGGTGGCAGGGCTCCGGCGTCCTGTCTGGGGTAGACCAGCACACACCCTGTTTGGGGCCGACCAGCACGCCAGCGATCCTGTCTGTTGCCAGCCGGCGCATGCAGTGGCACTGTGATAGGCGGACCAACATCTACATACAGCAGCAACTGGCATGTCTGATGTCCGGGACGGGTCAGCACCGTCCCATATCGGCACACAAAGGGTGTGAGCACTACGCGGCACAGATAGGGGCGAGTCGGCACTGACACTGTCCTTCAGTGACACTTTTAGGGGCGGACCACCAGCGCCCACTTTTACACTGGGCAGTGGCCCTCTCCAAGGGGCAGCATCTACAGTGGCTCTAATTGGGGTGGTCCATTGTCCTTGTGGCGGACGTTTTTTGTTAGCAAATAGCAGCCGTAGTTTTACTGTGGCTGTCTTTTTGCAGCGAAATGTCGCTGAGACTGGGTACTGCTACATAGGGTGAGGTAGGTCCAAGTTAGCAAATGAAAGGGTTTCGATTCACTTTTTAGAAGCACCGGCATGAAAAACGTAATAAGAAGTCTGAACAGCGGTAAAGTCGTTGGCGAAAGTGCAAAAATCGGCCGATACTGATGAATTCAGGCCCACTTCTCGAAAGTGCAAGTTATCAAAACATTATACCTCTGAATTGCAATGAGCCATGCATGACGAATGACACGGTGTTGTGTTTATTACTGAGAAACAACTCAACTGAACAGCTGAAGCTTTGTGTTTAGATTTAACATACCTCTGTATTTGCAAGCTTACAGTATAAGGTCACAGTTGTATTGCATGCATAGTTTATTTAGCTTGACATCGTGACCTAGTATGCACCAAAAGGCAGCAATTAATCTATCTTGGTTAATTTCTAATGTTTCCATAGGTAATTCAGCAAGAAGAGAAGTAAGTAAGAAGTAAGCTGACCTTTCATTCTCTCCTTCCACTAGCTCACAAATGATGCATGCATGTACTTACCAAGGGCCAGTACAAGTTCTCATATAAGAAAACGGTTTGATTGCTCCTTGGCCATGGTCTTTTACTTGCATCTATGAACCAACAGTAGAGCCGTCGTGAAGAAACAGTCGAGCATTGAAAGGGTTGATTTGCACGCTCAGCTTTGCGCTCAACAAAGTGTAAGGTTAGAGTAGAACAGCTCTACAGCATTTTAGGCGCAATTTCAAAAAGTTAAAGACCAAATTCAAAACGTTCACGTGCATTTTGAATGTAAACTTTTTGAATTTGGTCTTTAAATTTTTGAAATTGCGCCTAAAAAGGTGTAGTATTGAACACGTACGCCCGCTATGTTTCTGCACAGAACAAGATGACGTCGAAATCAAAACTGATGCATAGGTTAAGTACATAAGTATATTTGCTACATGCAGATCAGCACATCAAGATCAACAAAACCATTTACATCTTTTACGACAGGTCTCTGGAGATGAAATGACAGGCGTCCTTTGTAACATCTTCTCTCATATTGCAAGCGATGGCAGGTACGACTTTCAGTAAACTGCCGCATCAACTCTCAATCTCTGTGACGACTAAGCGAAAACAAGTTCCATGGAGACAGTCTCACCATGGATGGATGAGAAAGGCACGCATTACCTGACAATAAAAATACCTATAAAGCAAGTGTTGATGATAGGTAACTAGTAACTAAGTACATGCGAAAAAGCAATATACTGCTAACATAATAAAACGAACATACAGACACCGCTCAAAATTTACCCAGAACAGCCGACAGTTCTGCCTATCCATAATCCCAAGTGGCGTACGAGTATGACGAGCGAAACTGAGAAAGGGGCAGCGCACACATCTTGACATCAACAATCATTTAGCCCTCGCTCATGCAACCGCCACAACCCAACATGATTGCAGCTTGCATTCAACAGCCTGTGCGGTGTGCAAATAGTTCAGAAATCGCGACACTTTCGCAATCGTTTACGTTCAGAGAGAGCTTAGATTATTATTAGTTAGTGCATCCAGCTTGTTTTTTTCTGATTGAACATTTATACACTATCGATGACATTGTTCCCTTGATGTTGTTATGCATGTTAGGTGCCTACATATTTATATGTGTCGGTAGCAGAGTACGGTATCAACGCCTTTTGGTCCTTAGCCTTGAGAAAGATCAGTTAAACACTACTTATGATAATACTTGGGCTGACTCATGAGCAGCTGTAGGGTAATGCACACAAAGGTGCATTACAAATACAATGTCGACGCATCGCAATGTCGGATAAACTTAATTAAACTCGCACTATTGAATTATCCTGCTGGTTTCTGAAGGCGAATCTAAGTTAAGTTTGATAGATAATATTTTAATACAAAATAGAGAGAAAGAGAAAATATCCGGCTATATATACATATCTATGACGTAATAAAATGCTGTAATTAAATATCTGAAACGACTATAAATAATTATCTGTAAATTATCTGAAACGACCAATTGCGTGTGGGCGAAGTTATTGCAGTGGAGGTTGCAATCATGCATCGCCTCTCCGGATGGCGCCAAGGCCTGCATCTAAGTACGCCCTGCCACGCAACATTCGGGACCAATAGCTGTACAAGCATGAGTAGAATTCAATGATTGCGATCAACTTTTTGTGAAATGGGGAACCGAGCAGGGCTAGATTTGACTTGACTAAAAGGGATAACTATATCGGCAAGTACCCTGTTGAATGCATTGGCACGCTAAAACACCTGATATAGCAGAACTTGGAAGAGGAAGTGTGCCCACATACAAATAAACTATTCTTTAGCTGGATGTGTGTCCACTGTCCAGTGTTGTACGAGGATCCTGGATTATCCCATGCTGGCCGGTGGTGTATACCCTAACCACCCGAGGCGATTTTGTCGTTAATCACCCTCCATCCCATCCCTCTCGGCTTCCCAGAACCCTGCTTTGTTACGATAAGCAGCGGTAAGCTCATCCGGAGCTCCATGGTAAATCCCAATGTGACTCTCGTGTGTCACATTGTTGCACCATTAATCAGTTGCTCCTCTCAAAAGCGCGCATGATCGTTCCTACTGACACACACGCTACAGTAGACTAGAATTATCTTTGGCATAAGACTGTTGGTCTATAGAACAAACCGTTTAGGAAACACAATGACTAGCTTTCAAGGTTCAATGTCAGCTAACGGTCAAAGGACTAACCGCATGGTGGGCTAACTGGGCACACGGATACACGCACATCTAGCACTGCTTAAACAGAATGATAAATGTAAATCTGTTGAGAATTACATAAATAATTGGCTACACAGTACACGTAGGATTAATGATAGTAGTGTTCAGATGTTCAGTCCCAAACAGCTTAAAGGGAGATAATGACCTTTTTCCACAAAATCTGAGTTAGGACCATTTTCTGACAAAACACAACAAGTTATAATGTAAATTAAAACCATTTTGCTCAATTCGGTACCTTGCCGCAAATATCTCAACTTGAAGTCACGTTAGCGGGGAGCGCTGAAAATGACCGTTGAATAAGTACTTACATCACTTTTTGGCACTTGCATGTAATTTTGTAAAATGAGCGTATTCCTTACATTTGATCTTCATCACATCTAGTTAGTTAATGGTCGTCTATAGTGCCTTCAAAAGATATTCATGGTTTGGGGGTGGTTTATGTCTAAATTTACGCAACTATTTTTCCTGTTCATCATCTGACGCCATATGCTGCTATTTTAGTAGCAACGACTCAATTTTGAATCGGTCCCGCCGACTGCACAATAAAAGAAGATAGATACAACACTTTTGCGGCATCACTGAAAAACTTATGCAGTACTGTTATCAAAATTATCATAACACCGTTCGACAAAACTGAAGTCTTTTTGAAATAAATATGCTTGTATTTTTCGCTTCAGGCTCTGACGCCAAAATAATGAATTTCGTAGTCACAATCGCAAGATTTGGCTGCGTTTCTGGCGCATGCCGTTCATTTGTGGCGCAAAATAATACTTGGAAACAAAGAAGAGTAGGCACTATGTACCCCCGAATTAGAATCTAATTAATTCTAAACCGAATTAACTCTAATTCAAATTAGAATCCTTACAACCAAGCAACGACAAGGTGATAACATAAACAAAAACCCAAGCGTCGCTGTTTGAAACAAAAGCGCCATATACTGCGACTTTTTTTATAGAGAAGGACAACGCATTTCGGTGGGTGTTACAAGTACTGCAAGTACTGCTTCTTTTTTGCAAAAATAAAAACCTTTTTCACATACGAAAATGTGCTAGGAAATTTTCATATTTTATAGAAACTACAGTAGAAATAGTATAGATGTCGAGTAATTTTTATTTAAGAAAAAAGAAAGCTCATTATCTCCCTTTAAATGTAATAAAACCAAAATCTAGAATTTAGCTGCATCAATGCCGACATAAACATCGAAATTTGTTTTCATAATAAATAAGTACATACCAATAACTAGGATGAAAAGATCGACTAGTCAGAGCGCGTGCACACTGCACAATGGCGTATCACGCACTCCTTGACCACAGGCACTTTTAACCAAACTCGGGAGAGCTGCGAGGATTTAAAGACAAGGTTGGAGTGTGCCAAGATAGTTGCGGTCACCGCCCGTTTAACGACTTTAATTGGCTGCGGCTGCTCCCGCGCCAACCGCAAATCGCCTTCATCTGAGGAGCATTGAACGCCTGAACGACTGTGATCCGCGGGCTGCCGGGCTCAATGTCAGGCGTATGACGGCCTGCCAATTGAGATACCAGGCGAGCGCTTTCCTCTGTTGCAGAGCTCCTGATAAATTTGTGCTAGTTTAACTGGAATATTGTTCAAGAAAAATATATAACTATGTACATTGTACATGTGCATTGTGCTCCTAAAAATGATAGATTTATGCTGACTTGTCATACTCGGCAATGAAATGAAAAGCACAGTGTTGCAAGGCGCTTGAGGGAGCTTAACTGAAATCACATCAGAATGCACAGGGCATTAGAATAAGCGCGACCATCTTTCATTCTTTTAACACACTTTCATTTTTCACTTACTTACACCTATATATTCGGTAATTCAAGCTTCCGAAATGACCTTCCAAATTCCAACCTGTAAAAATCTCATTCTCATTCACCTCCAAAATTTTGTGTATAGGTACTGTAAAATGCTCGAGCGTGGGCAAAACCATTCATCTTTCATTCGCCGGCATATCATTTCCTTCCTTCTTCTGTTCGTTGTTCTTTTTTACTTAGAAAATGCTTGCTCACGCAGTCACGCACTCACTCACCCATTCACCCACTCATTCACTCACTCGCCCACTCGCTCACTCACTCACTTACCATCCACTCATTCAATTACTCACTCAGTCATTTAATGATCATTTAAACGTCATTCAAGTGGTAAGCCACGATCTCCGCAGTACTGACGGTGCTGTTTCCCGCCGGTTCTTTCGGGGCCAGAGGTTCTGCCTCGCCATCACGAGCGCTCTGTCTGGTCCCGTGACCCTCCTGATGCTGACTCTGACCAGTGTGACCACCAGTGGGCGGCCGCCGATTCTGAGCGCTCCTGGCAGCCGGGCCCAAACCACCCTGCTTCCTCATCGCCCGCGCCAGATGCGCCAGGAACATCCGGAAAGCCGTGATGTCCAGGTTCTTAGCCAACAGACTAAGGAAGAAGAAGTCGCCGACCTTGATGTTGCGGACCACGTCCTTGATGTCCTGTGATCGTAGTGTGTGAGCGCGCCGCTGGAAGAGAGGCACGCGGAATCGCTTCACGAACATGAGTGACGTGCGGAAGAAGAAGACGACGCAGGTGATGCAGCTGAGGATGACCAGCCAGAACCATAGGAAGAGGTACACCTTCTCGTTGAGGATGTTGAGCGCCAGCACGCAGAGGGCGTCCAAGTTCTGCACGGTGCCGGACACGCCGTACAGCTGGAACTCACACTTGGTCAGCTTCGGGAAGGTGAAGGTCAGGGGGCTGACGTCCACCTTGCTCGGGTCTTGGAAGTAGCGAACACAGCGCGGGCCGTAGGTCAAGAACTCGTGGTTGATGAAGTGGTCGATAAGGAACATGTTGGCGAACACGTTGACAATGTTCAGAAAATCGCACAAGAGGAAGCGTAAGTAGTAGCCATCGTAGGATCCGAGTGTTTCGTTGACGTACATGCTCAGATTGCCAATCTTCTTCTTGAGCGTGTCTTTGTCCATGTTAGGCAGGCGCATGTCGTGAACCAGCGCGTGCACCCTACCGTCCTCGTTGATTTCCCACATCCAGTGTGGCAGGTAGAACAGCACGCCCTGTATGAATAACACAAACGGCACCCACTGATAGTACAGGTGGTACTTGCGGTACTCGTTTGGTTCCTGAGTGCCCAGGCCGTAGAAATCTGCAAAACAAAAGGGCAGGGGTCAATATTTCAATACCGGAGCGACGGGGGTTTACTCTTCAATGCATCGATAACTATTTTTTAAAAGCCAGCCAATCCTAAATGTAGGCGGGACATTTCCCCGGCACTCTCACGAGGCATTTCGTGCTTAAAAAATGTACGAGTTGTCTGGTTCTGTATCGCTCCTGTAAGAGCCGATATAGACGTTGACAGTGCATTCGTTATCGGTGACCTTCACCTATGGTTATTGGACTTGGCAATGCTATTCCCTAAATGACATCACTGAACATCATGGAACAAATGGTTTGCTACATTATTGAGCAGAGGCATACAGATAAACAGGTATAGAGGTATATAGAGGTCTAAGATTGAGCATACACTCAGGGACTATTTTAGGCAAAACATCCCCAGACACTTACGGCTCTCGAAGCCGATTTTGCGCATGGTGACGGCGCTCTTGTTGGGCAGCGTGTAGGTGCCGGTAATCCAGCAGTGGGTGTTGATCACCTCCTTGCTGATGCCCTTCTCCTCGCAGTCGCGGCAGAAGCAGTTTATCGGGTGGCCAATTAGACTCGTTGTCGTCGACAGAATGGAGAATCCTGCGGCGACAGAAAAGGGTGACACGTACGGGTGAGACGTTCCTGGTACAGTCGGTGTCAATGATTTTTATCATTGGACATGACATACGCTATACCTTCACGTTCTGTTTATGGATAGATTTGCTGAGGTCATCAATTCAATCTGCGGTAATGCGTTGTCAAGATTTTTAACTAATGAAGTTTGCGCAGACGAAAAAAGTTTTACCATTAAAGAAAAGTTTTACCATTTACCATTTAATACACTGTGAAATCTGTGTAGCTAAATAACGTCAGTTTGTAACTTTAGTTTGCTTATTTTCAATTTTGTATGGTGAAAAGGTTATCTTTCGGCCTGGAAAGGCTGTTGCACAGCTGTAGGATAATAGGTATAGGGTGGAGACATTGGACTGCATGGCACACCGACAGTGTGCCGCAGTGGCAGAGACCGCCTTGGTGGGACGGAGGTGTTCCGTTGGGATAGCCCACCCTGTCGTTCAAAACGGTTACCCCAGATAGACCTAACCTAACGAGGGCTGCCCCTCACCACCGGTTGTCTGATGGGAGTAACCGAGAGCAGACAATGGGTACAGCGTGAGTGAGGATGATAATGGGTTGGTTCTGAGGAAGACAAGGACGGATTGGCTGGTAGCCGATTTTTATCAAAGAGGAAAGCCCATGTCGCGGTAAGTATGGTCTAAATTTGCTTTGATTGCCATAAAGCGTTACTGGTTCATTGTCAGTCCCGTTGATTATCGGTTAGTAGAGCGTGAGTGGCACTCGATTTACTAAACTCCTGACGAGGATGTTCCGCGGCTGATGGGAGTAGCTGTAACCAATTGAAGTCAATCAGCTGAGAGTATGTACAGCTGTGATTGATGCGCTGAAGTTTGGCATCCGAGCCCTCTCGATACCACACATACCCGGAATAGCCCGATTGGACGGTAAGGGTCGGGGCCGAGGCAACAAGCTTTGCTTAGCGTAGGCTCCGGCTCTGTCAATCCGTCCACTCAAACATTGGAGCCAAATCTGTATGAAAAATACAGCCACTCGTCCATTCCACTGCAATTACTCGTTCAGCATTCAGTCAGGTCATTCTCGGCGTGATGGAATCTGATCAACTGTCTCTGAGTATAGCCACCGCTGCCGCGGCGCAGTGAACTCCATCACTCCGTGAACTTCCGTTCCCCTTATTTCCCTGGTTGGCATTGCGCCGTTTCTTCAGTGCATGGTCTCTGCAGTCTGTCCTCAATCCGGTCAACCACACCCTTGCTCAAGTCTCAACACTCAACTCCCTTCAGTTCCGCCTATAACTATCAGCTCACTTACGTCTGACATACACACGTGTGGGGGAGAGTCAGGCGTAGTATGACTCCTGCGTGCGTTATTGATCGGTACAATGTGTGTATGTGCAGGACCAACAAAGCCATATGGGTGTCACCCACGCAACCACCCTAACCGAGTGCGGGCCCGCACACGGACGGGCGTTACATAAGGCCGTAACTGAAAGTAGGGTGGGGTAGATCCGCTTGTAAGCACACTCACAGCAGACACAACAGTTTAGACATAGCAGCTAGTTCGTCAGCGATTTGCAAAATCCTCGCCGAACAATGATATCGACAACAAAGAGGTCGGTGACTTATTTTTGGTCGAACCCAGATGAAACTGTCACGAAGCGTCGGGAGGCAGCCTGACTCATCTCATAACATTCACATTTTCCCATACACGACAACCATATTCAACATTTGGAAAACATGACGACGTAATAAAAATATTGTTTAGCTATAGCAGCTAGAATATTTATGTTTTGTCCTGCGTTAAAAAGTGATATAGACACTATTGTGCCATTAGATAAAAGAGCTATTATTTTTTGCCGATGCTATGCCGCGGGCCAGATGAATTCAAAGGCGCATTCGATCTACGGTATGCTTTTCATTGGGTTTCTAATCGACAATTTGGATATCTACATGAAGATGAAGGGTGGCGTCCCCTCTCCGAATGGCAGATGATCTGTTAACACTTATCTGATGAGATGACAGACGTATAACGATGCTGTATATCAGTAGTACATTCGAGGGCCTTTGCAGCAAAGGAAATTTTTCACCTTGTGCACCTATGGTACCTATATGTATATCTCAAACAGAATCCCAAGGGTGGCGGCAAACCTTTTTGAATTCTGGTTGCCACTGGGCACGGAAAAAAGAGAAGCAAATGACGAACTAAAAAGGTTGAGCCTGAGCAAAGCATATTTCGTAAGAAATGCGCCCTACGTTTAAATTTTTTTGATTACCGTTACGTCGACCTTTTGCGGTTGGCTTTGCCCGGAAGATTGTTCCACGTTGAGTGATCTTGTACGGATTCTCATGCATTATTTACGTCTTTCGTAGCCAATGAATATGCCATTCTTTGTTACACGAAGAATACAGTAATACTGCCAAGTGCCAGTGCTATCACGAGGCTTCTTTCTTTATATTTCGTCAAATAACACCTGCGCTACGTGCTTCTCAAGGTGTCATATCACACAACATTATTTTGCTCAGGTACACGGTATTGCATAGGTACCTACGCAAAACACATACGATGGGATTAAAGCCCCACTGTTATCCCCTCTGGGTATAACAGTTGTAAGAAGCCTTACGAGGTGCTTTGTGTCAGGCATCCACAGCGTAACTGGGGCAGAACGTGTCCTGTGAGAATCTGCCCAAGTGCCGCTGCTGATCCCCAATCGTTATATCAAGTACTGACGCGGGGCACGAATAGATACATAAATCGTTTATGAGTCAGAGTGCAAACATTGTGATCAATGGCTGGACATGAGTTGTGGCGAAAGAGACTGACATGACAAATAGTCTCGCCAGTTTTTAACAAATGAACTTTTGGTAGATGGCTTCCAGTCACAAGCAAGCAAAGAGTCATTACCAAAAGGGATCGTATTGACAATCGATATTCGACAGCCATCCCTCCCCCCTGGGCGTCTACAATTTTAGAGAGGACTGGGTGAGGTCTGATGCCTAGCAAACATGTGCGAGCCAGAACTCAGACAACTTAATCCCAGAAAACCTGATTATACCGCAAAAGTTCCGAAGAAATGGGTGGCGTAGGTACTGCTGTGACGCAATTGATAAAACATCTACATATGTATCTTATTAGCAAATTCGTTTACCTATGGGTGCAAAAAAACCCTCAGGACGTCAGTGCCTGAGCAAACTGTGCGAAAGAGAAGTGTGCATTGTGCTCAATTAATTAACTGGCGCATACTGTATGTCAATAGACTTATATTGATGCGGATAAGGACGGCACGTGTTCCGGTGACTGTTTTCAGTGAAGGTTGCATTATACAACTGTCGGTAAACTTACCGAGAAAGAGGAAGGTGGTGAGTCGGTAGTGGAGCTGGAACACCTTGTTGTCAATGTTGACCTGACCGGGCATTTTGCCCTTGATGGTCATCGCGACGTCTCCCATGAGGCTGGTGATGGCCATGGTTGGTGATTGGTGTCTTCTGTCTCTTCCTTTTGGTCACAAACAGCTGCTCTAATGCTCACTGACCCGCACTCCTGCAATGATAAAACAAACACAGTCATTTATGTATTACAGTCATAACGCAATGGATGAACGATCAATCGTTGATACAGGCTTTGGAAGTGGACCCTCCACTTCCGCACGTGCGAAGGGTGGCCCCATCTGACTTAGATGGATCGACCATCCAAAGGGCCCCTAACAGCGTACCGACTTAAAGCGCAATCGACCCAGTCACTGCTGAGATGCAGAAGCAGCCACTGCACGTGCGGTAAGTGAGATCTCAGGATGTGAGTCTTGCGAATCTCCAACAGTGTGCGAGCTTTGTGCGTAATTGGCCCAGAAGCTCTGTAGATATATGATAGAAACGGGCCCCGCATGCGCGCACGTGGTCAACAAAGTTTTAGTTGGACTCACTTTGCACGCACAACCAACACAACACAAACCAACATCAGGCCAGGTCAGTCACCTCCCCGTCAGGTCATTCACCTCACTGTTTACAAATTAATCCTCGGCCAGACCCGCATACTCACGTCTGCCAGCCAGCCCACTGCGTATTCTCGCTACAATCCTGATCAACACCTCTCAAATGACACAGCTCGGCGGGCGCTGGCGCCGCGCGCGCCACTGGCCACGCTCGCTGGCACGGCCCACATCGTACCCCTGGGCCACATGGACCGTCGATGCGGCCCGTCGATCGATCGGCGCGTGGTGCGCAGCTCTCGTCGGTGCCGACGCAGGGGCGGCGCCGTCGCAGGTCCGCTGGCCGTGACCCGCCCGACGCGTGACGTCAGCTCAGCGGGGGACCGACGGAGGGACGGTGACGTCATAGAGAACTGAATTACAGTGACGCCATTGAGGACTGAAGGGTAATGACGTAAGAGGACTGTCGGACGATGACGACAGATCTGAGTCACCCAATTCGCCCATGCGGGTGACTGAGGTGGCCTCCAATTGCTACTTGGGGTGTGCTTTTTGTCTCGATTAAATTAACCACAATAACTGTATGAAATAAATCGTGTAGTGAGGTTTCAGTGTCATCTATTGCAACTGATGTGCAGTATCCTGCTTAGCAGTAGCGATATTTACCTCTGCCTGTTCAGCATTTGTGGGGTATTATGGTTGTTTAACGTTCTTAACCCCATGGGACATTCACTAATTCCTGTGACACTTCGTTTTAATTCATCCGTAAGCCATTCACGCTAGGGTGCCGTGATTCTTATCGGCTGAATAAATACTCGTGCATGTTTTATACGTGATACTGTAAAATCAACACGTGACTCTGATGCGAGATCGTGACGTCGCATATAACATCGGGTACACAACACACATACCTACATTCGAGCAGATGCTCACATTTCTCACCCAGCAACATGGTTTAAACGTTACCGGATTTTGTTTTGTTCAGGAGTGCACAGGCATGCATTTCAGCTTAAGATTGCACTTAAGCCTCGTATCACGGGTGGAAAACACCACGACACCGAGGTTCCAGTAACACGAATGGTGCACTCAAAACTTTTTTACTACCTCCTGGAGAGTTCATTTTCATCAAACCCGCAAGATAATAGTATATTGAAAGGGTAACTCGCTGCTACCATTATGTGCATAGTAACGGTACGTGGTTAATATGAGCTTATTCGCCAGCGAAGAGTATCATTACCATGTAAATATCAATATTACTCTCGCGATCCAGAACATCACGAAAACTCTTTCCTCCTGGGTATCATGACTCGGGTACAGATAGTCGTTTCATGCGTGGATCTTGTTTACCCTCGTGAAGATGATATTTGAAATGGAAACAATCAGCCAATCAGAAACGAGATCGGCCGTTTGCGGTTTGAAGGCCGCGCGCATCTGTCAGTTTTCGGCCGTTGGTCTCCGAGAGCGGATGTGAGCAGTGTCGGTGCCGCGCGGCGTGGCCGTTGGTGATTGTGCTTGTGTGTTGTGCATCGCCTATAGAGCCTCTGTGGACATTTTATTGTAAGTACCGATGTGCTAGAGCATTGCGTGCCGTTGAGTGGTGCTAATTTGACCTGGTTAACAGGACCCCGTGCACGGCCACGTGGCCTAGTGTTGTGAGTACGTACATTAATTTTGTTGTGATGCTACAAGTTTATGCATTTTGTTGGTGACTTTGAAAAAGCCTTGCACTGTAGTGATCCAGTCTCATTATCTCACGCAGACGGGCGACCACCCAGGAACGCCGTCGCTCACTTCAAATATTGTGCGCTCTGCCTAATCCAATATGAGGGCGCTGAATGTCTTGTATTCATATTCAAATTGCATTCAAGTTGTATCGTGGTGTTTATTTACCGCTTGTGCATTGCTGAACGCTTTGTATAAATTTGTATGAATAAGTGAAGAGTCTCACAATGTTCATGGTTGGTGTGCCCCTCGTATTGTTTGTACGGAAGCCAAATACACCTACATTGTTGCTCTTGAAACATTTTTTTTTTAGTTGGTGAGCTCCGGTTAACAGAAGCTTCGTGAAGCTTCTGAAGGAAGCGTCTGTGGGTCTGTTACCATCCTCTGGGGGGTTTACACTAAAGGAAAGAGTAAACATTACCATGTGACAAAGGGTAGGACATAAGAATATACTCTCTGTAGGAGGGTAAAGCACAGAGTAGATGATGCGTTACTCCCTAAAAAAGGGTTCCGTTAAAGATTTACCCTTTCAAAGAGTGTAACCCAAAAAATGTTACACTCTAGACAAGAGTAAATCAAAAGAGTTTATCATTCAGAAGATGGTAAAAAACGTCTGTGTGTCATGTTACCCCTCCCTGGCGAGTTTACTCTTCATGAAAGAGTAAAATTTACCATCTGGAAGGTGGTAAAAAACGTCTGTGTGTCAAGCTACCATGCTATGGCGGGTTTACCCTTCAGGAAATGGTAAAAAAGTTTTCAGTGTGAGAGACGACCGGTGGGGTGAGGTAAAGATGAGGGCAGGGGCGAGAGAGCGCCCTTTTTGCAGGTGTCTATCACAGGACGATTGTTGCTAGGGCCGTATGACTTTGACACACATAAGCATGTGTGGGTTACATAGCTAGTGAGACAGCCCTTCCCATACGACCGGTATGTATAACGCAACTAGATGTGGCAGTCGTCATCGTTTGTGGTTGTGTGTCTCGAAAAAAAAGCTCCGATAATTTCAATAGACATGTGTCGCTAGATGGTTCTACCAATTTATAACGCTATGGTCAAAGCAATTTAGTCCCGGCGAAACGTATTCGCAAGCATAATGGCGAGGCATCCACATCTGGCCATGGCCCGTAACGTAACAAAAGCAGTGCCGCTGGCAGAGCACTGCTGGCTCCAGCGGCGACAGGAGCCGCCGCTGCACTGGAGACTCAACCTGCGTATGTCGGTCTCTGGGGAATCGCCAGAGTCAGGAGAAAGACGGCACTGCATCACGAATTTGGGCCCTCATGGACTCGCATGGGATGGCTGCCCAGTAGCGTCTATGGATTTGGCGAGGCCGGAGGAATATAGACTATAGAACAGGCTGCTGGCGATTGATTGTATCTCACAAGCAGCGAAGATGTTGAAACGGCTTCTTCGGACCATTCACATTGTTCCACTCATTTGGATACGCCTGGTGTCATCCCTCCTTCACCAAATGACTGAGCGTCAACCACATTTTGTGACCAAGGTTGAGAGGACCAACTTCAGAGCTATAGACAGGATTGCCCCGCCTCACAGTCAGGAATAGTTGGCCCCACCGAACGGTCAAGACCTCACAGTCGGGAGGGAGTCGGGACCCTGTAGTCCCACATCACGGAAGTTCCGTGTAATCCCTCTCCGGAGCGATCACACTGCAGAGTCAATAGTGGGTAATATCGTCTCTCGGAAAGTCGATGGGCAGCGCTGGGTCGCTTACCCTTGTCGGCCCTCCGGTGCCGAGCGATGCTATGCCAGCCCCGCGTCACTCAGCTCTGGCACTGTGCCCTTCGGTCAAGGACACGCTAGTAGCCTTGATCAGTTCAACGTATAGTGACCGGCCCCGCTCGTTGCCGTCGCTGCCGTCACCGTCATTTTCCAGCTACCCCTACCGTTGAGCTAGCTCCGCGACCTCGTAGAAGGAAAGGGGAAAGTGGTAGTCTACGGCGGCCTTACCTGTCGCTATCCAAACCGCGGACCGACTTCGCACCTCCGTCTGGCACTGCCACACAACTCACAACCGGTCAACGAAGACACGCACGGTCTCAGCGGCACAGTCCAGGGCACAGCGTTCGGCAGCTGCACCTCCGCGGGGCGACGTTTCACTCTCTGGCTACCGACTGAGGAGCCGATTCATGGGGCCGCTGAAGATCTGGCACCCGTCCTGGGCACCGTGCCACCGACAACGACCAACGGCTTTCAGACCCTGCCCTGTTTATCAAACGCCAGGAATAGACTTCGCTAGCTGAGTCGTCGGTGCCAGCTTACCTGACCCGGGGACCTTGACCTAGAGCGATCCTGACCAGGAGCAGCTCCGACCAGGGCCAGGGGTGACGTTGACCAGGAGCGATCCTGACCAGGAGCAGCTCCGACCAGGGGCTGACCTTGACGAAGAGCACTCCTGAACGGGAAGGAGCAGCTTCGACCAGGTTGACGTTGACCAGGAGTGGTCCTGAAGTGCGATGCCTTTGACCGAGTGACTTTGACCCGGAGCTGCTCTAGCTTGGAGCAATGCTGGTCCTGAGTGATTTTGATTTGCCCAGAGTAGATTTGCCCGGAGCTATAACGTTGCTGAATGAAAGAGGCCCTCTTACCCAGCAGAACCATGTACCTACCAGAAAAATTTTGTTCCGAACACCTCTGACCTGGGACAGTTCGGTCTTGGGGGACACAATTCCTAACGAATGCCGCAAAGCAGCTCATTGGCCGCAGGCCAAATGCATCAGGCTCAACTGTCATTTCTTCACCTAGGCCATTCACAGGCTCCATGATATTTTCATGTTCATGACCACTATCATGGTTACCGTTCGGAACGATTGAACCGATTTCTATGGTGTGTTTCCATCGCTTGTTTCTTTCTTGGCTCTCGAATATCGTGGTCAAAATATCTAACAATAAGCCAACAACATAGGGTAGGGTGGGGTAATTTGAACATGTGGGGCAATTTGAACATAGTGTGAATAACAGAAAATTACGGAAAATCCATAAGTGGCATGACAATAAGACCAATGAGAAAAATTATCGTAACTAAAAGGGCTATCATATGAACGGGGTTTAAAGTTTCAGGGAATGAAGATGTTGACGCACAGTGTAAAAAATCAATTTCGCAAGGGAAAACGCCTAACAACACGTCATTGCAACTTCATTGCAGCGCAAAATCTTGCATTGCTAGCGCCTAATACGCAACGGCTTTTGTTGTATAATGACCTAATCAGTGCCTTCAATCCAAGAAATTTGCTTTTGAACCCTGTTTTTTTTTTTTTAAATGGCAAAATAACTTTTAGCGTGGGGTAGGGGAAGGTGGGGTAAGACGGACCAGCTAAGGTTTGAGGCCGCATATCTTGCTACACTGCTCTCGTAATTCATATTATTTATAGTCTTCGGAATGCTCAATCCTTCCTCTGTTGATATGTGTAAATACTAAATTTCAAATTAAAGACATCTAGGTGGTGGATGCTCTTAAAGAGGGACATGTCAAAAACTCAGACAAGAAAAAACGTGGGGTAAGACGGACCACCCAGCAGTGCCTGCTATCCGTTCCTGTGTGTTACACTTCTGCTCTGTACTCTTGTAAGAAAAGGTAACCAAAATGGTAAAATAACAAAATGAGCCTTTATTCTTTACTCGTGTGATGGAAGTGCAGCTAAAAGCTGGGAACATGTGTGTTGATTGTCGTTTGGCATGAATGCATGCTAACTGAGCACTTGCATGCATGGCTCACATGCAACAAAGACTCCTTCCTGAAAAATTAACTTACTTAAACTTGTGTCAATGTTTTGGAAAAGAACTTCCCATATGCAGGGTACAATGGACCACCACAGGGTAAGATGGACCACAGTGGTCCGTCTTGCCCCAAATCTAAATTCTGTCATTATCATGACGTATATGTCAAATAGCCCAACATTGCAAGACCTTGCCTTTCCTGAAGTGTGACTATAACTAAGTTTATAACTTTGTTCTTCACAGTTAAGTGCAAAATAGAAACTAATCATGCAAGAAAGGCGCCGTAATTGAATCAACCGTAGACCTCTTATATTAGATCGGTTTGACGAAAAACAACATTTTTCTCAATAACTCAAAAGCTATGCATCCTAGCAGCATGAGCTCAAGGTGGCCATTGTTACGAAGGAAAACAAACATAGTGAGTGCATAAAGCAGTAGATACCAGCAGCGGTTCAGCCGGGAGGGCTGGTGGTCCGTCTTGCCCCGCTGGGCCGTCTTACCCCACCTTCCCCTAATTTGAACATAGTGTGAGAATTTGAATGAAGACAGGGATAGCTCCGAAAAAAACAACGCTCCCAGTCTTTTTTTGCCAATATTTTCGACCCAAGGCAGTAGCAGATAAGTTATGCCAGTTTTAGAAAATTTACGTCTAATATCCGTCTAATGTCCGGCATGTTTGTTGATTTTCCGTCCAAAAATGTTAAAGTCAACTATTTGTCCAAATATGTCCGAAAATTATGCAGCTATCAACACTCAAAACCGTCATTTATATTGCTTATCATGTAATTTTACCAGCCGAAAAGTGTTCATTATATTGAGAGCTTAACAAGCTTTCCATTCGCCAATCAATGCTATGCACGATTACTTTATAAAAAGCGCTGAAGTATAGCAAACCATCGTCCAATGTTGTCCAGTCTGCTACCTTTGTCCAACCAATTCCGAAATGGACATTGGACAAAATCAGAACTCCAAATGTCCAGGTTTCGATTGGCACCACTTTAACAGATGTAGTACGGTTGGGAGACTTTTTATCGAACAAAAATGATAGACGTTCTGTTAATTGAAGAGGGGCGAATTCTGTCAACTGACCGGTGTGCAGCGTGCAGATATTGATACTCTGCAACTGTTATTTTTGCTGTTGTGTTGATTTTTGAAGTGAAGGTATGTTTAGAATTGTTCTGCCTATTTGTTTATGGGTCAAACAACATCAGTGCTGGCGAGACTATCGTTTTTATGACAGGTAAAGGCAGTATGTTCAAATTACCCCACGGTGGGGCACTTTGAACACATGCCTTGACTTGGTGGAGAAGTGAGGCTATGCTATTCAAGGTATGCTCGGCTCGTCCAAAAATGAGACTTGCATGGTGAAAGCAAGTGACACTTGCGCTACTGAAGCAGTTTTTCTTCATCCAGGGTTGAACTGGAATTTGGTACAACGGAGAATACGTAAAAATATGTTCAAATTACCCCACACTACCCTACCTATAATTTGTCATTGCCTCTGCTTTGGGCCGGCTTCCCCCTTCGCGAATATTGGTGATAGCTCTCGAACGCTTAGAGATAGTAAGCCTAAACTTTTACAACCTTTTCTTCCATCAGTTTGACATCTTTTGGAGTAAAGAAGTTGGACCTAGCCGCCTTGATGACGTCACATAGTCGATTTCTTAGAACCCTGTACGACAAACTTCGGAGTCATAGACGTTAACTTCAAATAGCTGCCAAAAAATGGAGTTTAACCCTCGCATGTGTAGGGGGGGGGGGTCGGATGGACCCCCCCCCATGTTTTTTCGCGAATAACTCGCGTAAAAAGCGGCCGATCGCGACGAAACTTTCAGTACCCTCGCATTGATCAATTTTACACCTACCCTGAAAATTTCATGACCCTGACCCAAATGACCTTTGACCTGTGACCTCTTTTCCGAGACCATGTTTGGCCGGAATCGCGATTTCGCGTATGTCGGCTCGCACTAGCCGCGTGTTTGCAAGCTTTTCGTGGTTTCAAACGTTCAAACATGTGATTTGATGTTACTCTCGTGTGTGTCAAGGTCACCTGAAGGTCAGGTCAGGTCATTGACCTTTGGTGACCTCGGGTGACCTCGGGTCACTTTTTCGAGTTTTACATGTTTCTAGGCTAGTTTTTGGAGCTGAATTCGAATTTAGCAATCATTTGAACATTTACGAAGTAGTTTTGGTGACTTCGTAACATGTTACGAAGCTGTCAGAGGCGTTTGACACGTACTACGAATACCCGTCACGACGCCTACTGGTTGACCTGACCTGACCTGACCCGACCTGGTCTAAATGCTTCAAGACATCATCTGTGATCAAAACTAACACGATATTCGTTATCAGCACCCCGAAAAACCCCTTAGCAGCCACACTTTACGACTTTCTAACAGGTCCCGATTTTCCCGACTTTGGGTCATTGACCTGATCTGGAAGGTCAACCAATGACCTAGGACCTTAAAATTGGGTATCATCGGCTTCCTCTCGTCACGGGCAACACGCTCGTTTTTTCCGCGAAGCTCTAGCTCGATCAGGGGCCAAACGGCAAGGGGTTCCAACCGACCCCCCCCCCCCTACACATTACCCAGCCAGCAATTTTGCTCCGGGCCCAAGCAGGCTCAAGTGCGGATTGCCCGAGATTTTTAGTCGGGCTAAAGTCGGCTAGGGCTTGGGCTAAAGTCGGCGTATGACACAAATACGCCGACTAAAGCCCATGCTCTGCCGGAGGTATGCCCGCTCTGCGAGCTCCGGACAGCCGTAGTTTAGCCCTAGTTGAGCGACGATTGGCGTTAACCCGATTTAAGCCCGAGCAGTGAATCCATTTATATAATGGAGATTACTCTGGGCCCGAGCGGGCTGAACTCCGGCAAGCCCACTCTGTGTGCCCTGTCTATCCCGACTTAAGCCATAGAAGTGAATGGGGTTTATACATTGCAAACTGCTGTGGCTTTGCTCGGGTTCGGCTCGAGTGATGGCTCCTGTTTTCTCAAGTCTCGACTTGACTTCATCTTGCTTTTGCTTCACACTGGATCAAGTAGCAAGGAGCAGCCAATGCACTTTCAGCAGGTTGTGCGGTTTCAATGCATATTTAAAATTGTTACGGTCACTCATATGCTCTGTTAACCGGTCATCGAGGCTCGAGCATTGCAAAAGGAAAGTAGTGGTTGACTATGATTGAATGTATATTTCAAACGACTACAGACACGTCAAATGAAACACAAATACATGAAACAGTGGACTGCAAACTGCAGCAGTAATATGGCATGAGTCATGAAAAAACGCCATCAAAACTATAAAACAATCACAAAGCCCGCTAGCCTCCCTCCCCGTTCATAATACTTGGTTTAACACTCAACTGAAAGCATAAAGTAAGGACAGCAAGTAATCGCTCATAAGACATAAAGCAATAAGCAAACAATCGTTTATAAGGAACTTCACTCTGGTGAATGGGAGCTTTGGAGGCGTCTGGCTCCTCCACACACACACATCTGCAGTAGGTGGTCGGCCAGCTTTCGGCGCAGTTTCCGTGGTATGCCTACTTAATTATAAGCAGGCAGTTTCCGCTAAACCACTTGGCGAGGGCGACTGCGGCGTCCACCCGGTCCTGGTTTGCATAACTATTCCATTTTTTGGAACTATTTGCTCTAATGGTACGTACCTGAAAAAGAGATTAATTGGTTTAATTTACCTACATTGCATGTTTGCTTGACAAATAATTTATTGTTGCATTAATACTGTAAAAGCACTTCTCATTGATCCGTATAAAATGTTCATTTGATTTTCAACGCGGACAGAGAATGAGCGTGCTCGGTGATAAGTAGATAAATATTTGTGTTTTGTATTTCATTTTCCTGGTTCAGAAGTGCTGGTATTTCACAAAGATATAAAGGCACGCAATGCGGCTTTTCTGAGCGAGGGTATAAGTCGCCAGGCTGAACAGCTATTCAGCTTCATGTTTGATGGCGTCAAACTCAGTCAAAATCATGACGTTTACATACGATCAAGCGCACCATTCAATACACTTACCTACCGTAAAACTCCATGCCAGTCCACTTGATAAGAGCAGTGAGCACTATCCCTTCTTCGCGCTGTCACACGCGCCCAAACATCAACCACCAAATGCCCCAACACCGGTGTGTCGTTTCGTCGCACAGCGCACAGACTGTCACAAACGCTGCACATGATTGGCGCAGAACTGCGCATGCGCGAACAGCCGAACAAGTATGGCTAAGCTCCGGCTTTACTCCAGTTAGCCGAAGGACACAGCCAGCTTGATCAGCCCGCGCTCCGCCCAAGTTAAGCCTGTTTTGGATGCGCGGGCAGATGTCGGGCTGAGCTACTGCTATCCGCACGTGGGCATAGCTGCGGCATGCCCCAGCTCAGCCCTAGTAAAAATACATTGGTTTTGATCAAAGTGGGCAAACCCAAGCTAAGCCCAAGCTGCCCGACGCCTGCCACAGTTCAGCCCAAGCGAATTGCTGGCTGGGTAGAAGCTGGCAAACGCCGCACACATGCGAGGGTTAAGAGATAAAGACAAATTACGAGGACGGTTGTGTAGTGTTCGACCTAGGGAAAAATAGAAAAAATAGCTATGATGACCTGAGGTCAGAGGTCAGGTCAACGACCCCAAGCTGAGGTTTTAGTTTTTGCGAATAACTTACACAAAAATAGTCATAAAGCTATGGCAGTGCGTATGTACCAACGCATTCGCCTTGTCAAGCTGCGTCGAATGACACATATTTTGTGACTTTTCCCTGATCAATTTTACACATGAAGTGCAAGTTTGAACCTCTTACCTTTCAAGGTCAGGTCACCAGGTCACTTCGAATGACCCAACCTCAAATCACTTTTTTGCAACTTTGTCACCGTGTCAGAGCTACAGTGTAGATGACGGAGGCCTTTGAAAGTCTCAGAATGTGACGAGGTCATTAGAAGCTATAATTTTTATGTCTCGGAATTTTGATATCGATGACCTACTTTACTGTCATGCATTTTGACTATTTACCCAACTAATTGTGCAAATATGAAATGTTGACCATTTTCCTGATGCGAATTCAAGCGAGGTAGCCAAGGCTGGCCCCGGTGAGAGCAACAGCGCAGGCAAGTCACACTGACACGGCTAAGGATGACTCATCAGAATCTTTTATCTTGTGTATGTACAGGTCTCGCGGGTTTTAGCGGTAGGTTTTGCACCTAGAATTTTAGTGTACTTCAGGCTATATCTTCGTCGTCTTAAGCTTTTAAGTGTTGAAGATGCGATCGACTTGTTGGGTAACAAGCCGGCCATGATCGTGTAAAATGGCTTCATCGTAGATCGATTAGTTTCTGAGATATAACCGGAAATGTAAAAGCGCAAAACCTACCGCTTAATCTCGCGAGACCTGTACGTGGTAACGGTCTCTTTTAGATGACCTCAGTCCTCAGCGGAGTATTCGGACTTCGGGGCAGAGGAAAAACGTCCGAAGAGAGATGGGAGAGAGAGAGAGAGAGAGAGAGAGAGAGAGAGAGAGAGAGAGAGAGAGAGAGAGAGAGAGGGTGAGTGAGGAGAGGCAGAGGGAGGGAGAGAAAGAACAAACACATGATAGGGCGTGCCAGATGAAAAAGAAGCCTGCTTCTGTCTGGTATTTACGCTCCTTTTAAACACAGGCATTAGGTAAGACGGGGACTGTATGATTTTTTTATGCATGTTTCCACTGGAAAATGCACGGGTAATTAGCGCAAGATGGCATATAATTACATTACAACACAACAGCCACCTTCATCTGTCTGTCTTTCCCCTAAAGGTCTGTCTGTTGGCGTAGGTATGTCTCTTTCTCTCTCTCTCTCTCTCTCTCTCTCTCTCTCTCTCTCTCTCTCTCTCTCTCTCTCTCTCTCTCTCTCTCTCTCTCTCTCTCTCTCTCTCTCTCTCTCTCTCTCTCTCTCTCGCTCTCTCTCTCTCTCGCTCTCTCTCTTTATCTCTCTCCCTCTTTCTTGCTCTTCCTCCTTCCCATCCTCTCTCTTTCTCTCTCTTTCTCTCTCTCTCTCTCTCTCTCTCTCTCTCTCTCTCTCTCTCTCTCTCTTCCTCCCTCTCACACACACACTCCCTCCCTCTCTCCGTCCCTCTTTTTGTCCTCTCTGCCCCCGCTCTCCAGCGCGGCGTCCGCACCGTCGAGGGTCGCAGGGTCTCTCCATCCATCACCGCGCCCGCACCGGTGCTTCTATAAACAGACGCCCGCAGCCGCGGCCCCGGCGCCCGTCTCCGGCCGCGTCTGCGACCGGCGCGCTCCTTGTCCGCCCGTGGGTCGGGGCTGCTGACCGCCCCACGCGCTGAGCCCTCACACGTGCTCGTGGTCAGACGTGGAACGCGGTGGCAGGAGCTACACGTGTGGGTAGCACACAGGCAGCCGAGTGGTGCTGGGGTCAGCTGTCAGAACTGTCAGCGGCGTTCGGACGGGTACTGACGGGACGGTGCCGGCTCCTGTCAGCCCGGTGCCCGCCTTCCACCGTCCGCCGGTCCCTGTCAGCCCGTCCGTCCGCCTTCCACCGTTCACCGGTTGCGCCAGGCCGGTACCCGTGGTGCCGGCTGGGTGGACCCCGTAGCCGGGTCACACGCCAAGCCAACACCTGCACGCCACTGCCGCCCGTCACAGGAAGGAAATGACGTTGGACATGATCTCATGACGGCTGGGAAGGAAAACAAACAACATTAGCCTTGGTGCTGTTTTTGAATTAATTTTTACCTCAACGAATATCATGCTACGGTTGCTAGCGGGCAGTCCCAGGTTCAGTTGACTGACTCAAAAATTGTGTTGTTACGCCTGAAGTAAAGAGCGGTATTTGTATCCTAAACATCAAATGATATTTTTTGGTAAGCCCACAGTCGTGTGCCTGTTTCCGCTGCTTGGGAAAATGAACAAAGACCAGTGTTGACGGCCTCCTGGCTCCTGCTTGTTGATATGACCGGTCGGACTCTTCCTATGCATTGCAGCGTAAGGTACAGAGATGTTCGCAAGCATCAACTGTGTTTGTTTTTCTTCCGGGACAGCATCAACTAAAGCTAAGTTACCTCATCATCGCCTTTCCACCAAAGTTACAGGCTGATCCTTCGATCATCCGAATCGCGGCGGCTCGTTCAGTCTCCATCGCCGCCGCGCCGCCGCCGGCGGCACCGCCCATCGCTGGCAGTCGGCCAGCCGCCTAGTCGACCAGTCGTAACGGTATGGTCCGCGCTACGCACATCTGGGACTGTGACCCAACGCCCAACGCCGCACCGGCTGGCTGCACCATGCCGCCGGCGCGGTGACGGGCGCGAGCCAGCAGAGCGGCTCACCGCGTGGCTGGCGGAACGGCGTAACAACGACAGGGTGGCTTGTGGTCTGTGTGAGGGATGGAAGGCTGTCTAATTGCGTTGGACACACACTTAAAACCACTGATAACGCTAAAAAACATTTGCGCTTCAATCAGTTATCATTAGAATTACTCTGCACTTTTGAAAAAAAAAAACACCATATTTGCCCGACATCAATACGTTTCTTTCTCAGCTTAGCTGCATGCAGTGCAACATGAACTGAAACATTTGGTCTTGGTAACGTTTATTTGTCCGTGGCCTTCACATGTGGTTAATTCACAATGTTGACAATAAGTTGAGCTTGGCCAACTTACCATATAGGCAGCCCTGGTAGTTGTCCTTTTTAGAGAATAAACCCTAAAATCAAGGTACAAACTCTAAATGAGTCAGGTCTTACAATGCAGCAGTGTAAGAACACGTTATACAAACGATACAAATAGCGTGCACCTATACATACACAGGCCGGTATTGTTGGGGATACGGTAATAGTTGTATTTCTGTGCTTTATTTTCAACACTTATTTTTATGTAAGGTAGGCATGGGTAATGCATCACACCTTTGCATCATTCCCTGCTATGTAACTAGTTGCATAACTTGCGCAACTGCTATTCTGCAGCAATTGCCAATTGTTGGCCTTCGAGTTAAGTCATTCCTGATTTGTACAATCATTCCTGTTGGCGACTAAAGCTAGAGCTAGAGCCTTGAGCGTCCCCCTAAGGTCAGAGTATTGCACTGGCTCCCCCGCCGGTGCAGACCGGGCAGTCGCTACTCGACGGCAGCCCCTCGTTTCTCGACAGCCTGTCTGATGAGCGTCTGCGAGTCGGCGATCTCCTTGGGTATGGTGGCCATGACCCTGGCGCTGGCCGGGCCCAGCTCGCGCGCCAGCTCCGACATCAGCTGCCGGAACGCCACCGAGTCCATGTTTTTGGCCAGCAGCGTCAGCAGGAAGAAGTCGCCCAGCGGCAGCCGCTCGACCACCTCGGCCACGTCTCGCGGGTCGGCCAGCCGCGCCGTGGCCCGCAGCATGGGCACGCGCAGAGCCGTGGCCGACATGGTCACCACCCGCCAGGTGAAGGCCAGAACACTGGCCACGGCCAGCAGCGCAAGCCAGAACCACAGCACCATGTAGATCTTCTCGTTGAGGATGTTGAGCGGCATCACGCACACCGAGTCGATGGTCTCGACGCTCCCAGATCCTCCCACCAGCTGGAAGTTGCACTTGGTCAGCTTGGGGAAGGTCTCACTCATGGGGCTGGCACTCGTGCCGCTGCCCGTGATGAAGTGGGACAGCACGCGCGGTCCGTAACGCAGGAACTGGCCGCCCAAGAAGCGATCCGTGATGAAGATGTTGGCGATGACGTTGGCGACGTTGAGCAGCTCGCAGAGCACGAAGCGGGTCAGGTAGCTGCTGTAGGAGCCCAGGGAGGTGCGCAGGTAGCGGACCGTGTTAGTGAGGCGCGTCGAGCGGTCCTCGGCATCCACCACAGGCACGTGCATCTCCTGCAGAAGGGAGGCGAGCCGGCGACCCTCGGACAGCTTCCATAGCCAGTGCGGCACGTAGAACGCCACGCCCTGCAGGAAGAGCACAAAGGCCACCCACTGGTAGTAGCCGTGGTAGCGGCGCTCGTCAGACGCCGCGTGCGCTCCCACGCCGTGGTAGGCGATGTGACCTGCCGGCGGCCGGTCAGTCGGGTCAGTCGGGTCACTTGACACCAGACAGCTGCGCCGGCGTCACCGCGACGGGCCGGGTGCGGTGTCAGCGAGCAGCGCTGCACGGGGTGTCGCTCGAGCTTACCCCGGATTGCACAGTCAGCTATTGACGTCATGCCACTCTGCAGTTATGGGAAATGTCAGTGTCTGGCAGTTGAATTAACATCTTTTATGTAATGAGTAGTTGGCAATCACTTTATTGGAAACATCCGTATCACGGAAGTCGACTGTTCTAGAGTGGGGAACATTGAGCGTATGTGTAAACACTCCGAGATCGGGGAATGTCTACTTCCCTGTGAATTTTAGTCAGCCTTGCGGCCGATTTTCTGAGCAGCCTCGGAAGTCTTCCAGCGCTTTTGAGTCAGTGGGAAAACGGAGCACTAGTTATGGCCGCAGGAGACCACAAGTGTCAGAGCAATGCTACGCCTACGTAATCGCACTGTGCAAGGCTGGGCTCATTTTGACTCATAACAAACTGTTGCCTGGTTCACACGATCGTTTTCAGACTCACAACTACCACTTCGTCCGCTTAGGGAGCGGCGGTTCGTCTTGCTCTTAAAGGGAGATAATGAGCTTTCTTTTTTCTTAAATAAAAATTACTCGACATCTATACTATTTCTACTGTAGTTTCTATAAAATATGAAATTTTCCTAGCACATTTTCGTATGTGAAAAAGGTTTTTATTTTTGCAAAAAAGAAGCAGTACTTGCAGTACTTGTAACACCCACCGAAATGCGTTGTCCTTCTCTATAAAAAAGTCGCAGTATATGGCGCTTTTGTTTCAAACAGCGACGCTTGGGTTTTTGTTTATGTTATCGCCACTGAACTCTAGTTATCGCCTTGTCGTTGCTTGGTTGTAAGGATTCTAATTTGAATTAGAGTTAATTCGGTTTAGAATTAATTAGATTCTAATTCGGGGGTACATAGTGCCTACTCTTCTTTGTTTCCAACATTATTTTGCGCCACAAATGAACGGCATGCGCCAGAAACGCAGCCAAATCTTGCGATTGCGACTACGAAATTCATTATTTTGGCCTCAGAGCCTGAAGCGAAAAATACAAGCATATTTATTTCAAAAAGACTTCAGGTTTGTCGAACGGTGTTATGAGAATTTTGATAACAGTACTGCATAAGTTTTTCAGTGATGCCGCAAAAGTGTTGTATCTATCTTCTTTTATTGTGCAGTCGGCGGAAGCGATTCAAAGTTGAGTCGTTGCTACTAAAATAGCAGCATATGGCGACAGATGATGAACAGGAAAAATAGTTGCGTAAATTTAGACATAAACCACCCCCAAACCATGAATATCTTTTGAAGGCACTATAGACGACCATTAACTAACTAGATGTGATGAAGATCAAATGTAATGAATACGCTCATTTTACAAAATTACATGCAAGTACCAAAAAGTGATGTAAGTACTTATTCAACGGTCATTTTCAGCGCTCCCCGCTAACGTGACTTCAAGTTGAGATATTTGCGGCAAGGTACCGAATTGAGCAAAATGGTTTTAATTTACATTATAACTTGTTGTGTTTTGTCAGAAAATGGTCCTAACTCAGATTTTGTGGAAAAAGGTCATAATCTCCCTTTAACAAAACATTTCGTCTGACAAACCCCACAGGTTCGTCCGTATCCCACTGAGCAGCTGATCGGACCCAGCAGACTGGTCTTCTACTAGGAATCGTCCAGCACCCAGTACAGCGCCGGCTCTGTGTCGACCGCGCGCGGGAATTGGCCCAAGGCCGCCGAATTTGTTTATGGCTGACTGGCCGCCAGTGGCGGAGGCCGCGGTCTGCGCTGGACGGTCACAGCGTGTTCCGGGCCGGTCCAAATCGCCCCTGGTACTTACAGATCTACTTTGCATTACAAAATACTTGTGCGGTCTGTCTAAGTCTCCGTCTGTCTCTCTGTAGTTTTGCATTCTTTGTTTCAAATATCCATCCGTCCGTTCGTCCATCTGTCCGCCTGTGTTTGTCTGCCTACGTATCCGTTTGTATGTAAATATGTCTGCTTGTCTGTCTCTCTGCACAGTCCGCCTGTCCTGTCTGTCTGTCTGTTTGTCTGTTTGCACAGCCTGTCTGTCTGTCTGTCTGTCTGTATGTATGTATGTATGTCTGTCTGTCTGTCTGTCTGCTGTCTGTTTGTCTGTCTGTCTGTCTGCAGGGGCGTAACTTTTTGGTTTTCGTTGGGGGGGCAACGCTGTCAGGGGCATGGGGGCGCCTCCCCGTGACTGTCTAGAAATATGTCTTATTTCAGTTTACGGCAGCATTTTTTTTTTACCATAGCACGTTGTTTTTTTGTGCCGTCGTGTTTTGGCACGTTATGTTGCAGTTTTTTTTTCTGAAATAGCGCGCCAAAAGCGCAGAATTATTTTGAAACAAAATACATTTTGAAAGCAATTTGGGGACCAGAGACCGGGGGCGGGTAGTGGAATTGGGGACCAGGGTAGTGACGCCTTATTAAACAACGCATATGGTAGTTCTTCTAAAGAAACGAGACGAACTGATGAATTGACAAAAAGAAAAGAAAAAACAACTGATAAAAAAGCGAGATTAAAGAAACAAATCTGTAGAACTTTACCCCACGCAGAAGCAAGGGACGTTTTTACGCCTCCCCTTTTAAGTTAAGAACACACTTCATACTGCATCTTTCCGCACGTGTTCTAGAAGCAAACCAGTGGCAAAAATTTGCCCTCATCGAAAAAAATAAAAAAATTGCCCCCCCCCCGCCCGCGCCGGGCCGGGGGGGGGGAGGGAGTGAACACCTCCCCTGTGGTTTTTCGCAGATATCTCAAAACTCCGCGCCGCCATTTTTGGCACACCTGTTCATGCATCTTTTTTTTACACATGTGCAAATTTCAGACCCAGAGCTCTCAAGGTCAGGTCACCAGGTCACGTCAAAAGACCTCACCTCAGAAAAAAAGTTGCAATCCTCGTCATAGCTACACCGACTGAACGATCGCCTTGAAACTTTCAGCGATTGATAAGAGTAACAGTATGTTCAAAATGTTTATCTCGGAATTTTGATATCAGTGACCTAAGGTCAAGTAATGTTTGCGACCTCTCCATTATAAGTCAATGGGAGAAAATTGAAATGAGCCTTTTTTGGACGAATGGTATTTAGAACCCTCTCAAACATCGTTTCATAGGTAAACATGATACACTGAATCGGAAAAAATGCACCTGTGACCCCTATGTGTGCCCTTAAGGTCATCTCAGGTCATGAACGGTCACCACCAGTTTTTTTGCTGTAACTTTTGATAAAGGCGTGCTAGAGCGATGAAAACACGTCAGATGTATTCAGCTCGACGATACGGATCGACTGATATGCAACATGACCCTTTTCGGTCAGGTATGACCTTGACCTGAGGTCAAATTTTAAAAATGACCTTTCAAGGTCAACAAATAGTTCATTCGACGCGTCTCGACAAGAGGAACATGATGCTGCCAAAAGTAATGTCGTGGCGCTCTTGAGTCAAAAGTTATTGCCGAAAAAACAGTTTTCGTGAAAACTGCTATTTTAACGTTTTTGCCCTCTGGAGGCTAAACCGTTGACCTGAGGTCAAATCTGAGAACATTGGTCAGAAAGGTCTGTAAAAGGGCTATCGAATGCACTTTTCCGCGGCGCTGTAGCTCTATTGATCCCGAGTTAGCCGTTGCAGTTTCCAAAATTGTTGAAATGGCCTACATTTGACCTTTGATGACCTCTGGCGACCTGACCTTTCACCTGACCCAAGAAATGACCGAAGTGTTTCCGTCATTATTTTTGACGCTCTTTCGAATGCTGCTTACTGCGTGTCGCTACGTGGCCCAGGAGCCGAGTTAGACCAGACACCCCCTCCCGCCCGGCGCGGAAGTCGAGGAGCACCAGCCCGGCGCGGGTTAATCCCAGGCTGAGAGCGTTCAAGCCTAGGTCACCCATATACCTCTGTATACCGAGATATGCAGAAGTCTGTGGCTCACCAGGTGATATCAAGTTATCACGAAATGATACAAATTACTCCTGCTAGAGGTGGCAAAACGTGAAAATTTTGGGAACCAGACCCGAACCAGACCCGGCTGGACATTTCTGGAACCAGTCGGACCCGGTCTAAGTTGGAATCGGAACCAGTTGAACCCGTTCCCCATAGGCCATAAGTCAATTAATACAAACCGTTTGTAGAAATCATTAATTGCATCGTGTAAAACAGCCGTTTTCCCACTGATAATACTTATGAGCTACAGTGTGCAAAGGAACATACATGAGCAAATGTTTTCTTTCCATTCACTTCATATTTTGCAATCATATGTAGTGTCCACTATGTATGGTTTATGGTAGGACCCGGTTGGACCCGCCAGAAAATTTCCAGGAACCGGTCTGGACCCATATGGGTCCAGACCGGTTCTTTTGACCGGGTCCTCGGGTCCACATTTTGCCACCCTTTGAACAAGTAGCGTTGGTACCGGAAACCGGAAGCTATCATGACACAGACTCACTGCTATCCCGGAAGATAATTTAAATTTCGCTTGATGAAAGTTCTCAGCTTTTACGATATCCGATTACATAATTGGCCTCTGAAACTGAGGACAGTAAGATTTGGGGGGGGGGGGGACTTCATCTAAAGGCCTCAAGATCGTGGCAAATGAAACATAAATATAGAATCATGAGGGCCATGAGGGCTAGTCAAAGGGGTTACCTACTATACCTAGTATTGTCAAGATTGGCTCGAGAGGCGTTTTTATTGGTCGATGAGGCTCTCCAACTAGCTAAGTGTGCCGTTTTACCGCAAAAAAATAACAAGGGATTTCCCAGAGGAGCGATTTCAAGACTGGAGGGGCGCATTGATAAATAGTGAGGCGCCACTCAGCGCCAAGGGCATCGCTCTTGACCACATAAATGTCATTACGTTCTAAAGATGGGCGTCAAAAGAGCCTCAAGGGACGTCTTCAAGAACCAGTGGGAAAGCCTTCCTTCCTGAATAAGGGTCTCTGTTCTAGCAACAAGTCAACAATGGCAAGGTGTGAACCACGGGACGCCTCAACTGGCACCAGGGGCAAGTTGATTAACTGTTGAGGCTTGAGGCACTGCCCTTTCGGTCGAAGGGAGCCGTAATTAGCAAAAGATTAGCAATGACACGTAATTAGCTATGACCGTAATTAGCTATGGCACGTATCGCTACCAAATTTCAGATATAACTTGGGGGATCTGTTTGTCACTTGACCTGGGAGTTTTAGCTTCCAGTGACCTGAGGTCAGGTCACAAGGTCACAAAACCGGTATATTGTCAAAATAGCACTAAAATGCACTATTTTGTTCATAACAACTAGAGTTCTACATTGATTTGTTGAGACTTGAGACACTGCCCTTTCGGTCGAAGGGAGCCGTAATTAGCAAAAAAAGATGATGTAGGATACCAGTATAGTCAGAGGAGCGCTAACATTGGCTCGATGGGTGCTATGAACCGTTGGGACGCTGCGCCAAGCAAGAGTGGCGCTTTAACAGCAGGGATACCATAACACACAAGGCCCTGTGGGACGATTACATTGACTCAAGGGGCGCCCTTTAGAATCGGTGCGACACCGTGCAGAGGGCGCCATTCTTAACCACATCAATTTTAATACTCACTGCAGATGGCCTCCAAACTGTCTCGAGGGGTGCCTTCAGGAACCGATGGAACAGCCACCGAAATAGGGGCGCCGCTCTAGCTGCAGTGATGAAATAAGGTATTGACCGCATTGACCAGAGGAGCGCTTCATGTGGCTAAAGGGGCGCGTTGGTAAACTGGTGGGGCGCCACCCCATGCCCAGCGAGGGGCGTCGTACTTAGCAAGGAAATTATGTAAGTCAGAGGAGCGCTAACTTCGGCTCGAGGGGCGCTTGTATGAACCGTTGAGGCGCTAACCTAGCTAAGTGTGCCGTTTTAGCAGCAGGGATGCCATAACACACTATAGCGTGTTATGGCATCTAGGCCCTCTAGCCTCCCCCCCCCCCTCCCCGAGGAGCGATGATTATGACTCAAGGAGCGCCCTTAAGAATTGGTAGGCCACATACAATTCATTACTCAGTGCAGAGGGGCGCCAAAACGGGCACGAGGGGCGCCTTCAGGAGCCAATGGGGCAGTCTACGGACTAGGGGCGCTGTTCTAGCAACAATGCTGATAAGGTATTGGCCAGAGGGGCGCTTCATCCACCTGAAGGGTCACATTGATAAACGGATGGGGCGCCGCTCTGCGTGCGGGGGCATTAGTTATTAGCAAAACAGATGTCATAAGACGTGCGTGTTGTCAGAGGGGCACCACTTTGGCTCGAGGGGCGCTTTTTAACCAATGGGGCACGCTATTTAGCTAAGTTTTTACTTGCCGCAAGCGGCGCACCATCCCTGAGGAACGTTACACAAACGACTGACGACTCTCTCGACATGGGCATCAGAGGCGCCCCTATAGACCTCACAGGCGTCTCTAATTCCCATTGAGGCGCCCCTTTGGACTTCAACTGGAGCTCCTCTTTCTATGGGCCTCCGAGGCGCCCCCATTTGGCATGCAGTCTCCCCTGTTTCGTATTGGGGCGCCGTTATGGCCTTAATGGGCGCCCCTTTTTCATGTGGGCGCCCCTATACTATAGATCTCAGAGGCACCCCGAAGGGCCTCAGAGGCCAATAAGGTGCCCCTCTTTCGCATGCAGGCGCCCCTGTGGCCATCTCAGGCGCCCGTGTTTTGCATTGAGGCGCCCCTGAGGACTTCATGGGCGCCCCTCTTTCGCATGCAGGCGCCCCCACGGCCTCAGAGGTTCCCCTCTCACGCATCCCATTTCCATAGGCGATGGCGCCCCCTTGAAAGATGGCGCACGCGCTCCTATGACGCCGCTGGCCCGTGAGGGCGCCTTTCGGGCCTGGGGGCGCCCACCAAGGTTGGGGGGGGCAAACGGAATGTTGGGGTGGCAAAATTTCAAGTTGGGGGGGCACCTGCCTCCCCAAAAGTATACAAAGTTACGCCCCTGTCTGTCTGTATGTCTGTCTGTCTGTCTGCACAGTCTGTCTGTCTGTCTGTCTGTTTGCACGGTCTGTCTGTATGTCTGTCTGTCTGTCTGTCTGTCTGTCTGTCTGTCTGTCTGTCTGTCTGTCTGTCTGTATGACTGTCTGTTTGCGCAGTCTGTCTGTCCGTCTATCTGTCCACTCTGGCTGTCTGTCTGCACAGTCTGTCTATCTGTTGTTTGCGGAGTCTGTCTGTCTGCGCAGTCTGTCTGTCTGCGCAGTCTGTCTGTCTGTGCAGTCTGTATGTCAGTCTGTTTGCGCTGTCTGTCTGTCTACGCAGTCTGGCTATCTGTCTGTCTGTTTGCACAGTCTGTCTGTTTGTCTGTCTGTCTGTCTGTCTGTCTGTCTGTCTGTCTGTCTGTCTGTCTGTCTGTCTGTCTGTCTGTCTGTCTGTCTGTCTGTCTGTCTGTCTGTCTGTCTGTCTGTCTGTCTATGTTCGTTAATCTGACTGCTGCTGCAAGGCTAGAACAGCAAGACATACGGTTTTATCGTGCATCTCCTGCATCTTAACACATCGCGTGGTGCTATAGCCGTCATTTAGATCACGAAACTGAGATTGCACGAATAACGTTGTCACGAAGAAGAGATTGCAGTGTTAGCCCTCTTCGCTGAACTACTGTTAACGCCAGACCCCTTGAGACCCTAATTTTTCGCGATTACTTTTAAATGCGTGAAGGAATTTCAACCAAGCTCAGGACATGGCCGTTTCAAGACAGGCCGAAACTTTTACAATTTAGATATTTTATCGCCATTTCAATATTTCAGGCACTTGTCATTGACTCGTAATGTTAACTGTTTTTCCATCCTGGATAGAGGCTTTCTACGTCATATGACATTAGGCTCCGCCCACGACTGCGGCATTGACCCGTGCCCATCAGCGACCTCTGTACACACGACTGCCCTGCCATCTGTGAAGGACTATGAATTTCGCTGACGCTTCACGTGCTATGAGTCAATTGCAGCAGACGGTCAAGTAAATGTTAGGCTCTTGTTGACTCTTGTATATAGGACCAAGAGGACCATCACTCCTCAACCTACTACTCAGTCGTGCTTCGAACAAACGTTAACGATTCCTAACAAATACGATTTTCGATGTAAGGTATCTGTTTGAAATACGAGCGAGCCGTATGATGTGAAGCTCAGGCAATTAACTTATTATTGCGTTGTTCGATGGTTGCATAGCGATGTACAAATCGGCAGCTACTTGGTGACATCCGACATCCCATTATCGCATTATCTGCAACGCCATAGGCTTTAAATACAGGTGAATATTTCCTAACCTTATGTCAGTTATATGCCATCTGCCCGTCATATGCAGCTTATAAAAAAAAAATATCAGCGAACATATCAGCATTGTAGAAGCAATGCGCATTGAGCATTTATGACTCCTTAGTCATCATGTCGCTCTCTGGGCACTGTCAGCCAAGACGCTACGCACAACTCCGCCGGCTTTCGGCACCGCTCGACCGTCGCCCGTCCCCGCTCCCCGCCACAGCGAGAGTGACCGCGCGCCGGCCCGAAACCGCCGCAGGCCAAGACCACAGAGGCGGGGCTTAGCTGTGACGTCATAACGTATCACAGACTGACTGGTGATAGCCTCTACACACCGGATGAAAATCTTGCTCGAAATTTAACATTACGAGTCAATGACAAGTGCCTGAAATATTGAAATGGCGATAAAATATCTAAATTGTAAAAGTTTCGGCCTGTCTTGAAACGGCCATGTCCTGAGCTTGGTTGAAATTCCTTCACGCATTTAAAAGTAATCGCGAAAAATTAGGGTCTCAAGGGGTCTGGCGTTAACAGTAGTCTGATACCGGACAGATACCATGCCTGCTCACTGGTCGGCCATAAAGTATGCATGCATATGCATAAAACTCGATAAACACTGGTCACTGGTCAGTGGTCGGTTAGGTATACGAATTAAAATATACATGTAAACAGTCTGTACAGACTACAGACATTAGGTAGGTATACTCACTGCTCAGGTATGCACATATCAGACGCATACTCACTAGTTAGGTATGTACAATCAGGCCTCATACTCGCTGGTCAGGTATATTATCAGGCCCCATTCTCACATACTGGGCATTATCAGGCCTCATACTCGCTGGTTAGGTATTATCAGGCCCCATATTCACTGGTCGGGTATCCATACTGAGTACTCACTGGTCGGGTTACCCCATACTCACAGGTCGGGTATCCATACTGAATACTCACACTTGTCGGGTTACCCCATACTCACTGGTCGGATTACCCCATACTCACTGGTCGGGTACCGATCAGAGGCGGTCAACAGGTGCGGCAGCGTGTATGTCGACGTTACCCAGCAGTAGGTATTGATGACGTCATTTGAGATGCGGTCCGGGTCGGCGTGGTGGCACGTCACAGGGTTACCAAACAGGGAGCTGGCGCACAGCAGCGTCGACGATGCTGGAATAAACAAAATGACGCGATAAAAACTTGACACACCACAGGACATTGGTGGGGTGGCCATTAAAAAGGACATTGCTGTCCAGCATAAGGAAGAACAGTACGCTTCCTAAGAAATTTGATTTAACCATGCCTTGACCGAATTCAGTTGATTCGAAATAATTTAATGAGCAATGCAACTGACTACGGAGTCATGCAATGATCGACATCGTATGATAAGCGAATATAGGCGAACTCATTTGAATAAATATTCCTCCTCGGCTTTTAAATCAAATCCGTGCACTTTTGCCGTGCGCAGAACCGTATTGCGAACGCGTATAAAATCGGTGCTTTCATTTTACTTGCTGCTACCGGCTGCACCGACTGCACCTAAACACAAGAAGGTATACTCGTATTTTAAGAAGTCCAGAGTTCATCAACTCAAATTAAGGAAATATTCTAGGATTGCACTTCGAATAAGGTTTATGGAAGAGACGCCCACGGTCCAACTGGCCATCCATCTCAACTTGCGACCATTGGTCTATACTCTATACACTTGCTGCACGTCACCTAATGACGGCTGTTGAAAGTGAGTAAAGTAGGAACGCACATCACTGCTAGCTAAGCACCAAATAGCCAGAAATTTAGTAAACGCTTAATACGAGCTAAAAACTTAAAGACTAAAAAAACTTAAACGCTAAACGCTCGTACGCAACTTTTGCCATTCCTCAACGAGACACTGCCGCATAATCATAGCAAATATTTTTATAGGCATATATCTGAAGCTGAATCTTCTAACAATGCTGTGAACGTGATAACTGCAATTTATACTTGTTAATGCATGAATCCAACACTCCGGATGCAGTGCTGACATTATTATGCGTCCACACGACTCGTGGAAGTCCTTTCAGGTGCACAAGCACGACGCTGACACTCGATTTGACCTTCGATAGCACCGCTCACTTACATATATGTATATGAGCGTGTAGCACGCCGCCCAACGGTATCAAAGACCGCTCGGATCAAATCAATCCGCTTCGCCGACAGCAAGGACGGCATTCATCATCAGTTATTCATTCATTAGCGATGTGTGACGGATCACCTGCTGGCGGCGAGTCCGTCAGTCGCCAGGGCAGCAGGTGACAGCGGTCGCGTGATTCAGGCCCGACGCACGCCACAGCAGTGGAGATGGCGGAAGTGCTGATTCAGGTTTGCTTCCGCATATCTACGTCATCACTATTGTATGATTCTAACAAAGACAATTTAATGTTGCAGCTGCAGAAATGAGTGCCGCTGTGCAGGACATCGGCAATTATATCGTCTTGTGGATTTTAAATTTAAATCCATTCCACCCTTACTAAATTCGCTTTTCAAAAGCTTTGGTTATTTGCTCCTTCGAAGGGAAAGGAACAAAACATCTAAACGGTTATAGTTATAGGCCTTCACTATAAAAAATATCAATGAAATTATGCCAGACATTGTTTGTATAATAAACACCATCATCATTTGATGCTTCCGCGCGATGGTCGGGTTTTATTCCGCATCGGTGATTTCCGCATTTGTGACAGGTAAGCTCAAGTAAGTCCCCTCTCCTGTGACGACTCGATAAGGAAGGCTGCAAGGGTATAGGTATTTATTATAAGCTGAGATTTTAAGCTTTATTTTAAGCGTCCCAGCTAGCCGAGGGCTATTACCGGAGGGACGGCCGATGGACGGCTGAGCCACATCCCTCGCGAACGGCAGAGCTGTCAACCCAGACGCCCAGACGAGTCCGGTTTTCTGGGCGTTTTTTGCTCCTTGGCTATCACGGCTATCACCTTCGACATCAGCTCACAGTACTCGACGAACGTGACACTTTTGCTGGCGCTCCCTCACCGAAAAATATGAACGTCGTTAGCCGGTAGTGCAGCTGAAAGAGATGGTTGTCGATGCGGATACCGTCTGGACCTTTTCCCTTGATGAAGCGGGAGATATCTGCGAACATCTCCGAGAGCGCCATCTTGTCCGGCGGCGGCCGCGACCCTGAAACGGGGTGGAAGGAGCAGCGAGTCGTGCCAGCCCAGCAGAGTGTCGTGTTAAATATCAGGAGTTAAATTTTATGTTTTTAATGAGAGGAATAAAAATTAAGCATTTATTTTAATGGCACTGTCTTATGCTATCGAAATTGTACCCTAAATGTCAGCAAAGGTGGGTTCAGTAAATCAGCAAATGTAAAATTTGAAGAAGGAAACATGTCCTACAACAAGTTCTTTGCCACTCTACCTTCTGAGCCAGCATTTACAACTAAGTTCAAACCAAACAAACTGGCCGTCAATCTGGCGTTCGAACTAGCCGTCCAACTGCAGTGTAACTAAATCTCGCTAATTCACTTCATGAATACTGAACAGCACAGTCGTTTGCTTTCACCTGCTCCGACGAGCTTCACGTTCTCGTCACGATCGTCTATGGAGTTGGCTAACCGCGACTTGGTTGCGATTGACCGAGGGACAACTGTCTCATTTGCATGCAAGAGTCGAACATCTACGCCAATGTGCTGTGTGCAGACATGTGCAATGTGCATGGATCCAAGTGATCTATGATCTTATTAGAACTCAGCTCAAGAACCGTGGGATCTGATTCTAAAATCAATTTTCTAGGACTCGTGCACTGGTCTGGTTGTATGGATGATGATTTCGAAAGTTATACCGAAATTTGCAGATTTTTGCTATGGACAGGCGGGGAATAGGGATTACACTATAAACTCCAACTGGACCGATAATTTTGCCGTGAATCTCGATATCTTTAGAGTGAGCACATCTTGGCCCCGCGCCGTTTATTAGGGACTGGCGTCTTTCCGTCAAGATAAATGGGTACCCACTGCCCAGTGCCAACTGCCCACTGCCCGTGCCTGCTCACCTTAGTTGTGTCAATTGAAGTCCGGATGAATTTCTGAGACTGTCGCCAGTGTCTCACAAAGTCGGGTGAAGTGAAGGGCGGGGTCCTCAGTTTCAGAAATGCCGTAACACAATCACGCCCTTCCTGCGCCCGCCACCCTCTGTTCGACTACTGAGGGCTATCCAGTGTCCACCCAGCCGCTCAAACGTCGTCCATAAATAATAGACACACAGGCATAAATACGACGTGTGACTGTGACAGCGGACCACCCGTGTCGACTCTGGTCGCCTTCTTCTGATGGGCCCGAGTGCGTGACGCAGAAGGGGCGATACTTCTTCGGGGGGCGCCGCATCGCACACCAATAAACACCCCGACATCATACGTGGACAAACACCACGCAGAGACACTGACAGCAGCTTTATCATCCCACTCTGTTTAAAAACAACTCCATCTTAAGGTGGTCACGCTAGAAAAGCAGCTTTATCATTCCGTTGTTAAAAAAAGGCTGGAGACTTCCACACGCGGGTAAGTCGCGTGTAAGTGGTTTGCGGGTAAGTTGGCGTTTATCTCGCGTTTAAGTCGGCGGGTAACTTTGCCCGGAGACTTCCATCTGCGGGTAAATAGTTTGTTCGCTAAGTTAGCGACCGAACTTACACGGGAGCCACCCCATGTATTAAGTTCGCGGGTATCTTTTCGGTGGTGCTTTTTTTGGTCCTTAGGGGGTTTTAAAAGTTTATTTCTGTGCAAATTTTAAGTGCAAGTGATAGACAATAGTGCAATCATCTAGTTCAGGCTTTTTCAGCCAGTTCGGCCTAGCCGTTCGGCTGCTAAGATTAGACGAATTTGAGGTCACCTTTTCATAGTACTGAGGCCAGTTTTACCAACAGAAAAATAGCCGCCTGGCGGAATTTTTCGCCTAAAGGCCGATTCACATACGGATCGAGAGCGGTAAAGCCCTATCCGCTTACGTGCTTATCGCGTTTCCACTCCGTATGTGAAACGTTCTTTAGGCAAAAAATTCTGCCAGGCGGCTATTTTTCTGTTGGTTAAACTGGCCTCTGTGCTTGTTGAGGGGTTACAAATTACGTATTTCATCACTGCAAGTATCCAGATGTTTTCAACAAGTCATACATGAGTAATCAGAGCAATATTTGAGTTGACAGAATTGAGGATGTAGGACTCAAATTTTCAAATACGGAGGTATTAGTCTATTTCCATCGCACCTATCTCCTTGCCACCAGCTGCTATTTCGTAATCTTCGGGATAGTGAGATGGGATTTGTATCGCATCCGAAATAATGTGATCGTCGAGCCAGCCGGCTAGTGTCGGGCCCCTGTCGTCGCACTTCGCGTTACGTGTCAGTGGGGCGAGGACCAGCTCAGTGGAAGCAATACGAGTGTCCGGTCAACAACCATGGACAGGAAGAAGAGGAGCAGAAATTTCAGTAGTAGAGACATGCATTTGTTAGCCGATGTCATGAAGACTGAAGTAAAAGTCATCAAAAATAAGCGACACGATGGAAGGAGTAATGAAGAACGAAAACGGTCTTGGAAGAACATTGTTACAGCCTGTAATGCAAGGTCAGAAGAAAAATGGGACTAGAAACAGCTGACACAGCTCTGGAGAGATATGAAAAGGACGGCCAAAAAGAACCATTAGCGGTTTAAACGGCAGCAAATGGGCACTGGTGGTGGACCGGATCCTGCGCCGTTGGAACGTCAGCCACCCCCGCGACACGCACATATTAAACTGATCCAGTGGCGGATCCAGGATTTTCACTGGGGAGGGGCTGCAGGTCATAATTGGGCGCCACGCCCCGGATGGGCGCCATAGTCGCATCGTATTGGCGCTGAAATATTGGCGCCCAGTGGCCCTGACAAGAGGCGCCCAGGATCAGTATGTACATTGTACAGTAACACCACACGATTGGAAATATCGGTGCGGAGCGTACTGAAACGACGTTATTCGACTGATTTTTGCATCCTAGTCCTAGTATGCGGCACTCCGATGAGTTGCGAATTGAAAATTGGCGCCACTGCGCCTTCGGCGCAGTGGCGCCAGTTTTCCTTGGGTGGGGGCTGCCAGCCCCCGCAGCCCCCCCCCCCTGGATCCGCCACTGAACTGATCACTCGGTGATAATCGTCTTTTGTGTGGCATTGCATTGGACACCGACGACGCCTCACCGGTGAAGTGACGGGGCGGGGGTGAGGACGGGGGGTGACGGAGACGAACCGACGAGGGCAGACGAGTAATCTGAGATACGGCTGTTGCAAGATCATGCAGTAGACTGGCGGTCGGCCATACAGAGTGAAATAACACAAGGCGATTAGCATTACTGATGCTGATTGGCACGGCTTCAAACGCTGTTCTGGTTAGGTTAATGCATCACCACATCCCATTGTTACGGCTGTACTCATTGCATGTGCAAAAACGCTGATTGGGGGCCACCGGTCCCATAAATAACGGAATTTCGCACTTGTTCATTGGACCAGCTGATCGCCGCATCCCGATCAGCTGATCGGGAAGCCCTTTAAACTGGCGTGTAAGTCGGCATTTAAATATTTACACGCGTGTAGCTACCCACCAGTTAACCGCGGATGGAAGTCCCCGGGTAAAAGTTGGTGGGCAGCTACACGCGTGTAAGGAAGTTAGCCACCAAAATAAACGCGAGTTAACCGCAAACTGGAAGTCTCCAGCCTTAGTCTATCAAGGGATGGTAGACATGCCACATTTACATCATTAGATATTAACTAATAGGCTCAATTCTACACTATTATCATCAAGAGCACGTAAAGATAACAATCTTTGACCAAAACTAGATATGGATTTCCCAAGCCAGCCCTAAAATAGTTTTGTCCAGTGTTTGCGTAAGCAATGACAAAAAAAAAAAAATGGTACCGGTCTCTGAGCACGTGGGTTAAAGCGTCAATCCTTGTTGCGTGAGTGCTATGCCGGCGTGAACTACGGCATGGTATTGGTGTGTATGTACATAAATATATGCTCGAAGTATTGCCGCTGTGCAAAGTGCAACGTGCATCCTTAACCCTCGCCGGACCTATTGGTTTTCTACATACGCGCCGGCCGAGGGGGGGGCGGGTACGACCCCCCCCTCGCCGTTTCGCCCCTGGTGGAGCTAGCGCGTCGCGGAAAAAACGAGCGTGTGCGCCGTTACGAGACGCAGAGATTGGTACCCGATTTTAAGGTCCTAGGTCAACCGGTGACCTCTGAGGTCAGGTCAAGTGCCCCAAGGTAAGGTTCAGTTTTTGGTGAATAACTTCGCAAAAAACGGCCGCAGAGCGCCGATTTTGGCAGCATCGTGTTCGTCTCGCTCAGGCGCGTCGAATGATATACTTTTTGTCCGGGTCAGGTCAACTTGGGGTGTTGACCTCAGGTCAAGGTCAGGTCAGCACCCCCAGGTCACGAAGTTGATCGAAAGAGGTCATGTCGCATATCATTCGATTCGGCAGGTCTTCCTGAGTCCATTGGTGGCTTTCCCGACTCGCTAGCTCAATTTGATCAAGAGTTATTGACGAAAAACTAATATGACCTTGATGACGTCATAAATGACGTCACGCAAGGTCAACATTGCAAAAGTGACGCACCTAACCTTGCAAGGAGTGCATCAAATCACGATTCTGTGTGCTTGAGATAGTTGGAGATCGTTCCCGGCGCCAGAATAGCAGTTTTCATTTTTCCCCATTGACTTATAATGGTGAGGTCACGAAAATGACCTGACCTCATATGACCTTTAGGAAAAATCCGAGATATACAAGTTGTGGGACTCATAATGGATACTAGATCCTGCAAGTTTCATTTCCCTGTGACATCTCCTCTGGCAGTGAGGGCGTTGCGAAGTTGCGACATCTGAAGACCGTGCAGAGGTTCACTTATGACGTCATAGGTCAGTGACCTGACCTGACCCAAAAATGCGGTTGGTGTCAAAAGATGCGGCTTGGATCAAAGGTCAGGTATGCCAAGTTTCAGCTCTCTATCGCCAGCGTGTTCGGAGCTATCGCGAAAAAACCCTATGGGGGGGGCGGCACCCGCCCCCCCCCCCCTCGGCCGGCGAGGGTTAACTAATCGTTTCAGACAAGAACATTTCGAAAGACAAGTTACCCAGCACACATTTTTTCGTACAGTATAATAAGCTAGCACCCAGATGTGGCGTCCTCTCATACTCGACGTGCGAGTCGGTTTAATGGTTCGTAAATTTGCGGCGCGGCGCCGGAGCGGATGGGGCGACGCCACGTGTTTGCCAGATGGGCGTCGGCCTCCAGACGGCCCCCAGACGCCGCGGTGACCAGGGAGGGGGGGGGGGCGGGTGCGGCGCTCCCCTTTCCCAAACACCGCGCCCGAACGGCCCTGGCGGGCGAGACGCCGCCCGGCCAATCAGTCGCTGCACTGGCTCGTATTGACAAATTCACAAAGAAATGTCAAACTGCGAAACCAGCGTTTACAACAATCAATACGAACACTCTAAAATTTGTAGTTTTTCTCACCTTTTTGAAATTTAAGGTCCTTAGGCTATTTTTCTATTTGCAAGGAATTAGGTAAAGCATTGTGCAAAATATGTTTGACTTAGGTATGCGTGACCTTCATTCATTGCAACTCACTCAATAAATGATTGGAACAGTTTTAGTTGTACGTTTAACGTCACTGGCGGATCCAGGGGGGGCATTTAGGGCCATGGCCCCCCCAAAGGCCTAAAGTGGCCTGTTTGGCCCCCCCCCAAAACGTCAGAAAAATTGCTAAGAAAATATACCTTGATGGAGGTTTTTAGCCACTTGAAGTAAACCTTTCCACAGCATAATATGGAAGCAATATGGTAGCAGTGAGGGTCAGTCAAAAGTTGCGCGAGCGGAGTCGACCTTCAAAAAAAGACTGTTGTTGGCACGTGTTTATGGCGCGGCAGCTGGTAGTTGGCGGTGTTTCGCGTGGTGTGGCATCACTGGCGGATCCAGGGGGGGGGGGGGGGCACGGGAGCCTGAGGTGCCCCTGACAGGCCCGTGGTGCCCTTGCTAGGCCTGTGGTGCCCCTGGACCCTGGCAGGCCTGTGGTGCCTCTGGCGGGCGCGGGCCTAGGGTTAAAGTGCCCCCAACAGGCCCGTGATGCCCTCGACAGGCCCAAGGTGCCTCTGCGTGATGCCGTGATGCCTGCGAGGCCGGTGGTGCCCCTGCGAGGCCGGTGGGGCCCCTGACAGGCCCATGGTGCCCCTGCGAGGCCGGTGGTGCCCCTGCTAGACCGGTGGTGCCCCTGGCAGGCCTGTGGTACCCCTGCTAGGCCGCTGGTGCCCCTGGGCCCTGACAGGACTGTGGTGCCCCTGACAGGCCCAAGGTGCCCCTGCAAGGCCGGTGGTGCCCCTGTAAGGCCTGTGGTACCCCTGCTAGGCCTCTGGTGCCCCTGACAGGCCCATGGTGCCTCTGCGAGGCCGGTGGTGCCCCTGGCATGTCTCTGGTGTCCCTGACAGACCTGGGGTGCCCCTGACAAGCCTGTGGGGCCCCTCACACGCCCGTGGTGCCCTTGCTAGGCCTGTGGTGCCCCTGGCGGGCTGGTGGTGCCCCTGCTAGGCCGGTGGTGCCCCTGACAGGCCTGTGGTGCCCCGGGCACCAAGGGGGGTCATGACCCATGTGGCCCCCCTTGGATCTGCC